ATACCTTGAAGTGCTATCCTACTTTTTAAGCTTACATATAACCTGACTGGGTTAGAGAATGAGGTAATGATTTTGAAGGTTGTGGAAGTCTAAAAAAAGTTCAGCTCTTTAAGTCCTAGTAGTTTTCAAGTTAAATTAATTATGTTAAGAGTAATTAATAGGGCGCGGTGGCTCACGCCTGTAATCCCAGCACTTTGGGAGGCTGAGGTGGTTGGATCATGAGATCAGGAGTTCAAGACCATCCTGGCTAACACGGTGAACCCTCGTCTCTACTGAAAATACAAAAAAAAATTAGCCGGGCATGGGGTCAGGCGCCTGTAGTCCCAGCTACTCGGGAGGCTGAGGCAGAAGAATGACGTGAACCTGGGAGGCAGAGCTTGCAGTGAACCGAGTGAGCCACTGCGCTCTAACCTTGGCGACAGAGCGAGACTCCGTCTGAAAAAAAAAAAGTCATTAATAGGCGTATTTCCTTTTTTTTTTTTAATTAATTAATTAATTATTTTTTTTTGAGACAGGGTCTTACTCTGTCACCCAGGTTGGAGTGCAGTGGCACCTCACAGCTTGCTGCAGCCATGAATTCCTGGGCTCAAACTATCCTCCTGCCCCAAACTCATGAGTAGCTAGGAGTACAGGCATTGCACACCACTTCTGGTTAATTTTTGTAGAGATGGGATCTTGCCGTGTTGTCCAGGCTGGTCTCAAACTTCTGGCCTCAAGTGATCCTCCTGCTTCAGCCTCCAAAAGTGTTGGGATTACAGGCATGAGCCATTGTACTCAGCATACTTCCTTTTTCAAAGACACTTCACACAGTTAAGTGCTTTTTCGCCTAAATTTCAGCTCATTAAAAGTTGTTTTTCCTTCAGTATTGCCATCTGTGTTACTATTTCTTGTTTTCATTCTGTACCACCATTATAAAATTGAATAGTCATGTTGATAATTTACAGAATATTTTTACATTAAATATATTTTTATCATTTTTTATAAGCCAGAATTCATCATAACAACCTCTATTAATGGTATAGAATGGTGTATACATTATAGCATCATGGGCTCACTGAAATTTTCTTTAGAATATAAACCTGAATGAGCTCTTAAAGCTCTGGACATCCATCTCCCTTTTCAGGTTTGGGACTTTCTCTTAGATATGTGACAAAGAATATAACTTCTTGACTAATGTAACTGTGTGCAATATAATTTGAGTTTAAGGATTCTTTCTTTAAGTGATACCTTGCTTTCTACAAAATCGTCAACTGCATTATAATTATTTCCGTTGATCAGCAGTATTTGAAACACCTGTTTTTTTCTTTGTCACTATTAATATTAACCCAAATTTCTATTTCAGTTCATTTGTTTATTGATGTGTTGAGAAACAGAGTGTTATTTCTTACCATTTTGGGATTGTGTAGGTGTTTTTAGGAGGATGGAAGCCTCACTTCAGACTTTTAAAATTCTTTCATTATTATCTTAAAAGAATGTCATGTTAGTTGGTTTAGTTTCTCCTTAGTGTAGAAATACAATGGAGTTGCCCACTTTTAACTTCATTTCCACAAAGAATTTAAAGCTGCTCTCTTAGCTTTAAATATTTGTTTCGTGAAATCTCATAATACATTATTACGCTTGTCTCCTAGTTTGAACCCGAATTTTCCATGTATAGTAATCAGTAAGCTCCTTTGAGTCCTGTATTATCTTTGTCAACCCTAGAGTACTTAGTATGAGTGCTTTGAATATAAAAGGTGCTTAATAAATGTCAGTTGAATTTGTGTTTTATAATATTGGAAAAAACATTTTACTGACCCACTGAAATTTTCCGTGCTTATCTTTTGCAAATTTTATGTACATCTCTTCATTTTCTATTTGAGCTTTCCTAAATTACTCTTTAAACCTTGGAAGAATTTTAGAAACCTTATAAACTTCATCATAAAATTGATTTTTCTGCTGATTGCATATGCACCAACATAGAGTGGACATAAGACACATACACTTAACATTATATTTACCACAATCTGCTTTGCCTTAGGGCCCCTCTGTGATATAGTAGGGAGAGCAGGATTTTGTTATCAAGATCTTGGGTTTTTTAAAGCACATCTCTACCAGTTGTTAGCTTATGTGGCCATCGGAAAGTTATTTATCAGAGCCTTTATCTCCTTTTCTCTGAAATCAGATAATTTTTCCTATAAACCTGAGATGAATATCAAATACTATAACACAGTCAGAGCTGTCACTCATTTAAGTTTCATGTCCTTCTCCATTGTTGTAGTTGGTGCATCTCTCCCTTGTGGCCATCCCTGATCTCTGCAGTCAGTAGCTCTGCTCTCTGCCAGCCTCTTCTGCAGAGCAGCTTTTGCGGTCTCCCTCTTCATCACTGACTAGTAGGCTTTTTCTTTTTTCTTAACTCTTACTGATTTTGCCTTTTGTCTTTTGTTTTTCATTTCTTATAATGAAATTTGGTCTTTAGAGTTATTTACATTCTGGGAGAATATGCTTTTCCTTTTTATAATTATTATGTACATTCTACAGATACAATGTGTAAGTGCAATCAGTGCTACATATGTAGTCCCTTGTTTATTATGTTTATTAGTAACAGTTTTTGAATCTATGACCTTTTACAGCTTTTGCCATTCATTTTGCTTAACTATCATCTATTATTTCCTAAGTAGTGCATCACTTATAGGTAGAAAATACAAACATGGATAAGACATGTTCCTTACCTCCCAGGAATTTATAGTCTCTGTGGGTGATAAATATATAAGGCAGATTGGTGATAAGTATTACAATAGAGATATGTATGTGAAAGTGAGGGAAATGCTCAGAGCAACACTGTCCAGTTGAAATATAAGATGAGACACGTTTGTAATTTTAAATTATCTAGTAGTCTCATTAAAAAATGTGAAAAGAAACAAATGGGATGAATTTTAAAATATATTTTATTTTACTTAATATATCCAAATATTGTTTTAACATGTCATGTAATCAATACACCACAATTGCTGAGATAATTTACATTTTTATTTCATACTAAAAGTCTTCAAAACTTGGTGAGCATGTTACACTTATAGCTGGAGTGATCAAATCATTTTGGTTTTCCTGGGACTTTCCTGTTTTAGCACCAAAAGTCCCTCATCCCAGAAACCCCTTCAGTCCCAGATTTGTCGCCCTACTTAAAGTATATCTAAATTTGGATTTCATTGGAAATACTCAATTTATATCTAGATTTGATTAAATGTACAGTTGAAAAGTAGATTCATTTACTCAAATTGAGACATCGTAAGTTTTCCAATAACCAAATTGAATATCAGTTATCAAATTTAAATTAAAGTTAAATACAATTTAAAATTCAGTTCCTCTGTTACACTAACCATATTTCAAATGCTAATAGTCACGTGTTGCTTGTAGAGTACTAAAGGTATCCAGCTGGGCATGGTGGCGGATGCATGTAAACCCAGCTACTCAGGAGGCTGAGGCAGGGAGAATTGAGTGAATCCAGGAGGCAGAGATTGCAGACAGCCAAGATCACATCACTGCACTCCAGCCTGGGTGACAGAGCGAGACTTCATCTGAAAAATATAAAATAAAATAAAAAATAAAAGTATGAGAAATTAGATAGTTCGCTAGGTTAGCATTGAAACTATAACAGAATATGAACACTGGTAAATCTAGTGTTGGCCATTATCATTAGCAGAAGGCAGAAGCAAACCATATGTAGATAGTGTCATGTCTCATTATAATAGTCTTTGTTTTTCAAAATACACAGTATATTTTGGATGTTTTGTTCCTTTAAGTATTTTGGGGCTTTGTTCTCAAACACAGCTAAGTTACTTGGAAACAATTTTTTTTTAATTTCAAGGCCTACTTTTCAGTTTGTTAGGTGGGTCCACAACTGCTAATTTGACCCTACTACTGAGGATTCTACTTGACATCCTGTGTGTTTTGAGGTCTTTCTACTCTGGCTGGTGGGAACCAAACTATTCCTGGCCCCATGTGAGCCCTGGGTATTATTCAGCCTGACTCTCTCTGGTGGTCCTTCCCTGGCCTCGGATAATTTCCTCATGCACATGGACTGATCAAAACTCAGCTGAAGGTTTGAGGGGAATCCTCTGCACATCTCCAGAGTACCGTCTCCACAGTACTCTCATCTTCAATAATCAGCTCCATGAATTCTAGCCACCTTGACCTCTCCAAATTCTGTCTTCTCAAGTTGGGGAGATTGCCAGGCTCTGTTTGGATACTTGCTCCCTGCGCTATAGCCTGGAAACTCCCCGGGCAGTAAGTTGGGTTAATCATTTCTGTCTTCAGGGATTACTGTTCAGCACTGCCTGTCTAAACATCATTGTTTCAAAGTGTTTTTTTTTTTTTCTTTTTTAGTTATTTGAAATAGGAAAATAAATCTGATCTATGTTTCTCCATTAATGGCTGAAAGCAAAAGTTAATCCACAGTATTTCTTTCAATCGCATGATTGAAAGTCATACTTTATTTTCCTTGATGCTTGTAGCCTTTTTTTAAAAACTCACAAGTTGGCTACTAATATGGAAACAAGTAAACCTTGCTTTTCTTTTCTTTTTTTGTGTTTTTTTTTTGTTTGAGATGGAGTCTCGCTCTGTCACCCAGGCTGGAGTGCAGTGGCGTGATCTTGGTTCACTGCAACCTCTGCCTCCCAGGTTCAAGCGATTCTTCTGCCTCAGCCTCCCAAGAAGCTGGGACTACAGGCATGTGCCACTATGCCCGGCTAATTTTCATATTTTTAGTCGAGATGGGGTTTCACCCTGTTGGCCAGGGTGGTCTCGATCTCTTGACCTCGTGATCTGCCCGCCTAGGCCCTCTCAAAGTGCTGGAATTACAGGCATGAGCCACTGCGCCCGTCCTTAAACCTTGCTTTTCAAATGCTTGATATTATAGAGTGGTACGTATGTATTTGTGTGTATTCGGTATGTTTGCATATTATGTATTTGATATTAACATATTAAGTTATTTAATAAACTAACCAAAAAATAATTTCTTATAGACCGAGAGTAATCATGACACGGCGCTAACACTTGCCTGTGCTGGTGGCCACGAGGAACTGGTACAGACACTGCTAGAGAGAGGAGCTAGTATAGAGCACCGAGACAAGAAAGGTAGGGCCTACTTTTGTTTTATTTTTTGGAATAATGGTCAAAATATTTATTTAGGAACATTATTTCTTAGTCCTGTTTTGAAGGTTAGATATTTTGTTCTTTTGCCTTAGCATGTAGTGAGAAGACCATTATTTTTCTCCAGGTTTTACTCCACTCATTTTGGCTGCCACAGCTGGTCATGTTGGTGTTGTGGAAATATTGCTGGACAATGGTGCAGACATTGAAGCTCAGTCAGAAAGAACCAAGGACACACCACTCTCCTTGGCTTGTTCTGGGGGAAGACAGGAGGTAATGTTTCCCCTTAGTGTAATTGTTTTCCTCTGTCTGTTTAGCAAATGTGTACTTTCACTTATATTATTTTTTCTATCAGAACAATGCTTTGATGTTTAGATTTATCCCAATAGCTGAAACTATTATTTACTAACAAAAAGATGAGTATCTTTGTTAGCATAAGCTGTCTTGCCAGAAAAATCACACATTGTTTAGAATCCTGCTCTTCTAAAAGTAGTACTGCCATGCATTTAGGGTAGGAGAAAGATTTTTGCAAGTCAAATCAGTAAGTTCCTAATGTACAGGGTCTATATTCACTCATCTTTGCTGGCCCTATAGTACATGGCATAGAAGGTACTTAATCCCAGTCTCTGTTGCTGTCTGTAAGATTAGTAGGGAATTAAGAATATTCAATTTTTATGTGTTTTGAGAACTCTTGTCTTGCTTTGATTTTTCCCCACCGTTTCTCAACTCTGGAGGAAAGGTTCTCAGATAAGATGGTAAGATTATATGACCTTTTGGTTTTTTAAGGAAACTAGAACAACTGACAGAGATTAGCTAGGCCCTAGAAAATATAGCTTTGCACTCACTTATGTATCTTGTGACATTTTATAATCAGCTAGATCACCCATTTTTTTTTTTTTCCAAATTCAGTCCTTTGTACAGGGGATATAAACCAGATGTGTTGTCTCCATAGATTCCCTTCTCTATCAAGGAATTATTGAATCTTAGATTTAGAAAGCACCTTAAGTCATTCAGATCAGTGTCTTACTCAGCTTTAAAATCTTTTTTTTCTTTTTCTTTTCTAAGGTTTTCCTATTTATCAAGCCTGAAGTATGCCTTTTTTGTTTCCCCACAGTTCATAGTTTTGTTCTTTAAACAAATAGAAAGAGGTTTATACCCTTTTCTATCTTCAGATTTTTTTTTTTCCTGAAGTCACCTATTTGTGTGAAACAAGTCCTGTTTCGGTTGTTAGCCCAAGAATACCTTTTCCAATCCCTTCACCATCGTGACTATTTCACTCTTTATGTCAGTATCCTTCTTGAAATATTATATGTAAAGGTATTCTGACAAGCAAACTGGGGAACTGTTAATTCCCATTTGAGCATCTTAAACTAGCTTTTTCCCTCAGTTCCCTCCAGTCATAGCACATAAGTGCCGGAAGATAGGGCTTGGTGATCCTTCATTTTATAAATTAAAAAAAACTGAAATCTATTAACAGTGATAATATAGGCATTTCTTTTTTCATAATTTTTGTTCCCTTATATTTGGAATAGATATTATATGCATGGATAGTTAGATACACTTATTACTAGAATACTCCACACAAGAGACAAGGAGCCTGGCCTGTGCCTACTGTTTTGTTTCTTCTACTTGTGTCACTTTTTTCTTCTGTAATTCATAGTAGGGGCAATAGGTAGGTTAAAAGTATTATAAGCCAAATATTAAGATAGTGAAAAATAAACTACTTAATTTGATAAATTATTTCTACTATTCCAGAAAAAGTAAAAATCCCCATAAATCCCGGAAAGCAAAATTTTACCTTGACTGAAATTGTCAATCATTATTTAGCTTGAAAAAATACTTGCTTTATATAGGAACAAATTTTTTCAATATTGAGTCAAGAAGAAATTAGTTGATTTTCTTTATTTAAAAGTAATATTAAAGCCAATAGGACACTATAATTTTTATGAATTATGTATTTTTGTTAAAATGTAACAGATTAAGTTATGACAATTGTAGGAGTATGTTAGGGTAATAATTTTGCCTATACACACTTTGTTACTTTAATTTGGTGTCAGTAGAACAGGTAAGTATTTTCAAGTGATTAATAAAATGTTGGAAAGTCATTTTACTATAAAATCATACATTTTTGTTGTATATTGGATGTTTTGGGAGCAGAACAGTTCTCTAAAAGAATTGAGAAAATATAATGGCATTGAGGAAACTTGAGAAATTTGATTAGAGTTTTCTACTATACTGTTTATAAAATAGCCTAATGCCATATTTTTTCTTGTTTTTATAACCTTGTCACCATAGGCGACCTAGTCTTACTTGCTCTGAAAGCAAAAAGTGATGGAAAGAATGTGATATCTAAAACTGGCTGAGATATCTAAAACTTGCTGAGATGCAAGATAATGCACCGTTCATTAACATTCATTATTTGCCAGTTAGTATTTTAGGATATAATATTACTAGTAAGAGCAGGGATAAGAGCTATGATCTTGAGCCAGTCTTGACTTCTCTATATCTTGTTTATAAAATGAAAACGAATATTGTGTCAAAGGATTGTTTAAGCATTAAATGGCATAGTGGACAATGATTTATGAGTGGCCAATTAGTACTTAAATAAATGCTAAATATTTTTAGTTTCAGGAAATGCAATTAAGATCCAGTGGGATACAACTACACATCCACTAGAATGGCTAAAATTGAAGACTAGCAATAACAAATGTTGCCAAGACTCATGCTACTAGAACTCATGCATTATTGAAGGTTGTACATAGTACAACCACTTTAAGAATAGCCTGACAATTTCTTACAAAACCATTCACCCAGAAATTCTGCCAGTAGGTGGGACCTGAAATCTAGGTAGTGAATGTATATAAGATTTTTCAATGTTGTGTTAGGAAATTTTCATAATGTTGTGAAAATATAGGACCTTTTATTCCATGTTTTGAAAATATTTACTGATTGAAACGTTTAAAAATATGTTAAATACATTCACACGTATAATATGAAACAATATTGTCCCATGTTACTCTGTTTTACCGCTTTGTGGTGAAATAACAAATACTGATTTCCAAAGCATGTCACAACATTTTCAGTCCAGACCTTTCATGAACACACTATACCATTTTAGTAGATTTCTACATGGATTTTACTTGAGTAGGCATTTCTTTGTTGGCTTCTAAGACCTCCTGCTATCAGGCTGGTTTTGTGCAGAGCATGAAGGAAGAACTTTCCCCTTCTTTTATTGTACAGTATACCGGAAAAAGAAATTTAAAAATACACACTTTGATAATTTGTCTCTCCATAAGAAAACATGTTTTTTTTCTATTTCTTTTCAGGTGGTGGAGCTATTGTTAGCTCGAGGAGCAAATAAAGAGCACAGGAATGTTTCCGATTACACACCTCTAAGCCTGGCTGCTTCTGGTGGCTATGTGAACATCATCAAAATATTACTAAATGCAGGAGCTGAGATTAACTCTAGGCAAGTTGTATTCTCTTTCTGTAAGCCCCTTATTTAGTAAGACTGTTACAGATATTTGTAGAACACCTATTTTTTAGTGCCAAATTTAGTAAATCCCTTTATTACAAATTTGGCATTCAAAGTATTAGAGATTTTTGACATGAACTTTATGTAAGTAATTAAAACTGGACATAGAGCATGAAAAATAGTGAGTACTATTTCTTATGATACTAAATGTAAACATCTTAGAAGCTTTTATTAAGCAAGCTAATACATGCTTTAAGATTGAAAGTTTATCCTAATAATTTATTAATCACCTTCCAGCCCAAGTCATTATGTTGAGTGAAATAAAAAAAAAAAAATTCTAATAAAACATTTCTAATGGAGTCTTGGTAGTATCTCAGAGAATTACTAGGGTTGAGAATATTTTAAACAATGCTGCAAAATAATCTTAGATTGGAATTCTGTATCATCTCCAATTTTTCTATGTCATTTAAAATGTATATTTTTCCATTTGTTTTCCCCATACCTGCACCCCCAGAACTGGTAGCAAATTGGGCATCTCTCCTCTGATGTTAGCAGCTATGAATGGGCATACAGCTGCTGTTAAGCTCCTGTTAGACATGGGCTCTGACATAAATGCTCAGATAGAAACCAATCGGAACACTGCGCTTACCTTAGCCTGCTTCCAAGGAAGAACTGAAGTGGTTAGTCTTCTGCTTGATAGAAAAGCAAATGTTGAACACAGAGCTAAGGTAAGAAAAAGTCTGAGATTTACACATGACTTTATTGCTTTGATATTTAAGATGTATAGTAGCAACATGTTGATTATAATTTTAGTGCTTTCTAGTAACATTTATCTCCTATGGATATAATTAATTAGAAATCATTCTGTGTAACTCAGTAAAACATTAACTCTTGAAAATACCTGAGTGATAAATTTTTATAGGCAACAGTGACAGTAGGGTTATCAGCTGAAAAAGAGAGACTATTTTGAAAAGGAAGGGAGTGGAACATTTATTGAGTACCAGTTATATGCCAAGTGCTTGCATCTTAAATATATTTTTTCTTTCTTTCTTTCTTTTTTTTTTTTTTTTTAACAATACCATTGAGATTAGGTAGAATTATTTTCTTTTGATAGATCAGTCTGTAACTCGAAGGAGCTAATAAGGGTCAGTGATTAAATTTAGTTGTGAATCTTGATAACAACTGTATCATATTCCTTCTTCAAATTATTATTCTTTAAAATTTTAGATCTTTCCAGTCTCTTATGTGTCATTACTTTTAATCTTACACTAAACCTAGACTGGTCTCACACCACTAATGGAAGCTGCCTCTGGTGGATATGCGGAGGTGGGCCGAGTTCTCTTGGATAAAGGTGCTGATGTTAATGCCCCTCCAGTTCCTTCCTCAAGAGATACAGCTTTAACCATAGCAGCAGATAAAGGGCATTACAAATTCTGTGAGCTTCTTATTGGCAGGTATGTTGTTACCATACCCTTCATATATGAACACAAGTGTTACTAGTGATTACCATTCTCTCTGGGCAGTTAAACTATTTAAAAAATCAAATGTGATTATTTCTTCTTTTATAAACAAGTGCTTTTTTCCCCAAACCTACCCATTGTTTTCCAGCCATCCAGAGCTATGCTACATTGTCTGATTTGTTTCTGTGTAACCTGGAAATGTTTTTCTTTGATTCTTGTCTACATTACTTTTAATATCTATAATAACAAGCTATTTGAACATCCATCTGTTATCAGACATACTACATCCCCCATACACAAGTCTTAAAAGTCTGGCAGTGATCTAAGGCTTCATTATTCATTTTCTTGTTCTTTACAGCAATTAAGGCTTTTAGGTGTGGTTATGGGACTATTTAAGATAATCAGATAGGATCCGGGGTACTTTCTACTTTCAGTCAAGTAGAAGTTGCCTGCTAGTTTTCTAAAGATGCTTGTCTATTTAACTTGTTTTCGTGCAGTCTCAAAGACCTTTGCATGGTACTCTAAGCAGTAGTATTGGGCAGTAACTGCTATTAACTGTTATTAACCATGGGTCTTCTCATCTACATCATACCCACTGAATGAATGCTAAACCTGCATGTTATCCTTAACATAACTACAAAAAACAAATTGGTATCCCTAATTGGAAAAACTCCAAAATATGGAACTTTTTGAGCCCTGTTATGACACTCAGCATTTCAGACTTCAAATGTTGGATTTCAGATTAGGAATGGTCAATCTGTATGTGAATACAAATAATCTGAAACAGTTACAGTTGCCTCATAGGATATAGTTTGTGTAGTATAATTCTGAGAGCAAGACATATTTAAATCTTTGAATATTGAAAACAATTTTTATCTTTACAGGATATTTTCACATGTTAATAGTTGATTTTTGTTACTGTGTCATTTCATTCTATTTAAGACAATGCTAGGCTAGGTGTGGTGACAATGCCTACAATGCCAGCACTTTGAGAGGTTGAGGCGGGAGGATTACTTTAGCCCAGGAGTTTGAGACCAGCCTGGGTAACATAGGAAGACTCCATCTCCACAATAAATTTAAAAATTAGCTGAGCATGGTGGCATGGGCCTGTAGTCCCAGCTACTCTGTAGGCTGAGGTAGGAGGATCATATGACCCCTGGAGGTGGAGGCTGCAGAGAGCCATGATCTCACCACCGCACTCCGGCCTGAGTGACTGAGCGAGACCCTGTATCAAAAAAAAAAAAAAGACAATGCTATCTGTATCATTGGTTTTCAGGGGAGCTCATATTGATGTACGTAACAAGAAGGGGAACACTCCATTGTGGCTAGCAGCAAATGGTGGACACCTCGATGTGGTTCAGTTACTGGTGCAAGCAGGTGCAGATGTGGATGCAGCAGATAACCGCAAGATAACTCCTCTTATGGCAGCATTTAGAAAGGTATAAGTCTTTCATCCTCATTTACCTGGATGTTTTTTTACTTACACTAGGAAGTACATGGCTTAATGATCACTAAAGACTCATTTTGTGCTTTTGCAGCTGTGATGAAAGCAATAATATGCAAATAATTACTCTGATGGCAACGTTAAATGTAGATGTATACAAGTTTTGCAGAAAAACCATTAATTTTAACCTTATTGGACATCAGAGCTAAGTAAACTTTTAAAAAGCTGTTCTAAGTAATGTTTTCAAAATCTAGTTGCAGTCTTAATCTTCACAAAGTGTAAATCCAATTAAGATACATAAGTAAGTACCTCCAGATAAAAAATATCACTTAAATTGGTTTTTTTGGGGGGGCGGTTTGTGCCAGGCACTGTGGCTCATGCCTGTAATCTCAGCACTTTGGGAGGCCAAGGCGGGCAGATGAGCGAAGCCCTGCCTCTGCAAAATTTATAAAAATTAGCTGAGCATGGTGGCATGCACTTACAGTCCTAGCTACTCAGGAGGCTGAGATAGGAGGATGGCTTGAGCCTGAGAGGCAGAGGTTGCAGTGAGCTGAGATTGTACCACCGCACTCCAGCCTGGGTGACAGAGTACGACCCTGTCTCAAAAAAATAAAATTTGTTTTTATTTCGATTATCGACTTTAAATACTAGGAAAAAAAAATGAATTAAATAACGAAAATGCCACTACCAGCATTTTAAACTACTGAATTTCAAGTATATTATATTTAAAGGTAAAAGTATGAATTCTGTGAAAGTGAAACAAACTTTCTCTTTTTGTACATAGCACAGAGCTGTGTATAAGTAATTTGATTTTATTGTTTGTTTGATAATCCATTGATCTCTTAAATACAGCTTTAATTTATTATTGGGAATATCACATTACTGATACAGGGATTATAATTTTGAGTTTTGTCATTTGGAGATATGTAGATACAATTTCCTGTAGATGCCAAAATGTTGAAAAATTTTAATAAATAAATTGCGATAAGCTATCTCTTCCTTTTTCTCCTATTATTCTCTCTGACTCCTGTTCTTTATTCCGCCCGTTCCCTAGATATTCTGGACTACCAGTGACTCTGTATTTTTGACTCTATATTTTTGTTTCTCAGCAATCAAACTTATTCCTTCTCACTGGCTAGCTGCCTCTTCTCCAAGCAAGCTAGCATATCATTATCAAGTTAATCTTTCTAACCACTCTACTATATTAGAGAACCTCTTCAGGAACCTTTCTGTGTCTCCCCAATCTCTGAAATCATTTGAAATCCAATCGTAGTTTGGTATTCAAAGCCACCACAATTTAGTGCTTGTAGAGTCTTGTCTCCCATTAGAATCCCTAATGTGGAGAATTATCTTCTTGCTTGGTCTTTTCCTTGTTCCTGTCTCTCACATCACCTTTGTTCTCATCTCGTAGAATGACCATGTCTGTCTTCATTTTTCCAAAGTTACTCATTAGTTATAATTTAAGTCTCTCCTTCTGCCAAACTCTTCATCCTATTTGAGTTCACATTGAGATCTCAAGTCTCTAGAGTTTGTACAAGTTTGACAGTCTTTATCATTCATTGGGAGAAATACATATTTTTATGTTATTACTCTATTAGAGTTATTATTTTTATTAGTTATTACTCTAGTATCTCACATGCTTATGTCTTTCCAAGCAATGCTTATCTTTTATACTCTTATTATTTGTTCCATTATTTCTTGAGTACCTACCATGTGCAACTGTGGGCTACAGTACTATATTATATAGGGTGCAACATAGAATATGTATATATAACATATACTATGTTATGTAGGGTGCAATATGGAAAGGTAAGATCCATACCCAAAGTTAGGCAACTGTTTGAGTTGTCCCATATTAATAACTTAAACACTGTAGACGTGTTTGAGAGATCCTTAGGGAATGATGCAAGTGGCATTTGAGCTATTCATTTAGAGAAAAGTTTAGAAACATGCAGTCTAAAAGGAAGAGATAGAGGCAATAGAAAAAATATACTAAAGATTAACAGCTGTTTATCCTGATTGGCTAACTTTAGACGTTGTATCAGAAAGCAACAGTGTGGGCTAGAGAAAGTGGGAATGGCTCTTAAGAAGTAGGAAAGGGCAAGTCTAAAGATTTTGAACTTAGATACCGACCTGTGTTGTAGTGAATAATCATAGCTTATTCTTCATGAAAGTATATATTCTTTCACACTACCCAGGACAGTATTATACATTTGTTTTTTATCTGAAGGAATGAAAACACAAAATTATTATTTTTGCTCTTTTAATCCTCAGAATTGAAACTAGACTCTCATATTTAGGGAGTTAGCAAAGAAAAAAATAAGAATTCCTCCCCCGCACCACCACCCTTCAGACATATCCCCTACTCTTCATATTGATTTTGGGATTATTGGTTTTTTTTATTCAGAGTTGTTTAGAATTTTAGCTCATATTATATACTTTTTTTTGGAAGGTAGGATGAGAATGATCAACGTGGATTTAAGTCACTGGAACCAAAGCCTGTCTCTTTTTCATTTATAGTGTAAATATACAATGTAGTCTTCACTTTGTGGCACTAATCTTAACTGTTAAAGTTAGTTCAGGCATAGATTAACTGAATTGTTAGAGTCTGTTTTCAATCTGACATTGGTATCTATTTTTTAGGGTCATGTGAAGGTGGTGCGCTACTTAGTCAAAGAAGTCAATCAGTTTCCATCAGATTCTGAATGTATGAGATACATAGCAACCATCACTGATAAGGTAATACGTTGTTCACTGTATGAGCAAGGGACTCTATTCAGTTAATGTATCTTCCATTCTAAGAAAAATTTTTAGTTTGAGTAGTAAAGTGTAATATATAGCCATTTTATGTATCTAGTATTTGGGAATGAAGTGTGCGATTTAAGAGATTCTCGCCAATTATTTACTTACCTAATGAATCAATGAAACATCCTCTGCTATAGGATTATCTTATCTTTAAAAATAATACTTGAGGCCAGGCGTGGTGGCTCAAACCTGTAATCCCAGCACTTCGGGAGGCCGAGACGGGCGGATCACAAGGTCAGGAGATCGAGACCATCCTGGCTAACACGGTGAAACCCCGTCTCTACTAAAAAAAAAAATACAAAAAACTACCCAGGCCTGGTGGCGGGCGCCTGTAGATCCAGCTACTCGGGAGGTTGAGGCAGGAGAATGGCGTAAACCTGGGAGGCGGAGCTTGCAGTGAGCTGAGATCCGGCCACTGCACTTCAGCCTGGGCAACAGAGCAAGACTCCGTCTCAAAAAAAATAAATAAATAAAAATAAAATTAGTACCTGAAGCCAGGCACAGTGGCTCACCCTTGTAATCCCAGCAGTTTGGGAGGCCGAGGCAGGTGGATTGCATGAACCCAGGAGTTCAAGACCAGCTTGGGCAACATGGGGAGACCCCATCTCTACAAAAATACAAAAATTAGCCTGGCATGTTGGCGTGTGCCTATAATCCCAGCTACTTGGAAGGCTGAGGCACAAAAATTGCTTGAACCCAGAAGGTGGAGGTTGCAGTGAGTCAGGAGTGTGCCATTGCACTCCAGTCTGGACAACAGAACAAGACTCTGTCTCAAAAAATAAAATAAAAATAAAAAAATTATTGAGCTAATTTAATTTTTATGTGAACACTAAGTAATTCAAAGCAACATGTTATTATTCATTAGGGCTGTCTTCTATATATGTATGTTTATGTTTATCCAGACTGATGCCTATACTGAGAAAGCATTGAATCCAATAGATTTTTATTTCCCAGTAAAATGAATGTAGTACTTTTAATCATGAGCAAGAAGTCTTGAGCGTGATGTAAAAGTTAGGGTAATTTTTAGTTTTAACTAAGTTTTAGAATGAATTGGCTAGGAATTTTGCAGGAAATGTAGGGAAGATAAAATTGAATCCTATTAGAGATCAAATTGAGACCTCCTGGAGACATACATTTTGATTTGGAGTTTACACTAACACTTGAATAAAATCCTAACACATGCCTCTGAAAACCAAAGAGGCCGACAAATCTTAAAAATGTCTTCTTATTACGTTTACACAGTTGCTATTTCATAATAGTGAACAGCTTTTCCCTATAAGTTTTAATTTAAACTAATTAGGTCACTGTCTTTCCTAGCTCTAGATTTGTCCATGACAATTAACATTCCTATGTATTACAGGTTTTTAGGGGCAGAGAGGGAGATTAAAAATAAATATTTTTAATAATACTAAGAATAAGACTGGTTTAGTGGCACACAGCTGTAGTCTCAGGTACGCATTAGTCTCATGTACTTGGGAGGCTGAGGTGAGAAGATGACTTGAGCCCAGGAGTTAAAGGATACAGTGTACTATGATTGTGCCTATTAATAGCCTCTGTATTTAAGCCTGGGCAACATGGCAAACCCCTATCTCTAAAATTAAATAAAGAAAAATTTTATAAGAATAAGAAAGTACTGTTTTGCTGTCCTAAAGTGTGACTTGAGAATGAAATCACTGAGAAAATTATATAAGTACATGTATCTGATTCCTTTATAAATGTTTCTTGTACATGAAATTGGAGCAACAGAGCTTAAATATTTGAGGACATTTCTCAAAAAATTTTCAAATCTGTTTTCTTTGTTGACATTGACTATTTCCTTTATCCTATTAACCAGCCAACATAAATTATTGTAGTTCTGTTTGCTGTACAATTTCTTATATTTAAATTAGAGGATAAATGATTTTTGTTTCTAAAGTGCCTGTTAAATGGATATTATTTTGAAGAATAACAAAAGCTGCTCTTTGATTCTTTATTTGTATATATTCCTAAATATACTATGTCAATTATGTTTTTATTTGCACGCCTTTTTTCCCCCTTTCATGGATCTTTATTGCTTAGGTTTGAGTACCTTACTAAAGATCTTCATGTTTTTAGGAATTTCTCTAAGTGGGAATTGTTCTGTGAGCCTGGAAACATCTTAATTTTGTATTATAGGAGATGCTGAAGAAGTGTCATCTTTGTATGGAGTCAATAGTACAAGCCAAAGATAGACAGGCTGCTGAAGCAAACAAAAACGCCAGCATTTTGTTAGAGGAGTTAGACTTGGAAAAGGTAATAATAATCTTTACATGTGAAAACTACCCACTTTTTTCCATCTTGTTTTCTCTTCTTTTGATTTGTAATCCGTTGTTTTTTTGTTTTGTTTTGTTTGCTTTAAATTATGTACATGGTTTCTTTCTACATTTGGCTCAAATCGTGGAGAGAATTATGAGTACATTGAACATCATTAAAAGCTTCTCTTTGTAATGAAATTAACAACATTTTGTTATAGGAATTGCATTGATCTGGAAGTCAGAAAACTTAGCTTCTAGTTCTGGATTTTAGTCTTATCTCAGCTAATGATCTCTTAATCCTCAACCACATCTGTTGTTTTTTGATATTAGGCCTTGTAATGTGTTGCCAGCAGGTTTATCACAAGTACCAAATGCACTACCAAGGCATAACCAACCAGTGAAATACAAATCTTGGAATGTCTAATGAGTACACGTTTTAAATGGGTGACTTCTCTTGTACTTTTCTCTTTCAGGCAGACTACAGCATCATTCCCATCTATTCCCATGGGGAGTAAAATACACCAAAACAGCATATAGTTTGGACAGTCTTATAGCTTCTGCACTCCCCTTTTCTGCCACATTTTCCCCTATAATTCTGTACTGTAGAACTTAATTGAAGTAATCATAGGAAAATAATTGGTTTGACATTAAATATTATGTAACTGCCATATCTCATCTTTTATAAAAAGGTCAATAGCCAGGCACAGTAGCTCATGCCTATATTCCCAGCACTTTGGGAGGGCGACGCGGGTGCATCACCTGAGGTCAGGAGTTTGAGACCAGCCTGGCCAACATGGCAAAACCCCATCTCTACAAAAAATACGAAAATTAGCCAGACATGCTGATGCATGCCTGTAATTCCATCTACTCGGGAGGCTGAGGCAGGAGAATCACTTGAACCCGGGAGGCGGAGATTGCAGTGAGCCAAGATCATGCCACTGCACTCCAGCCTGGGCAAAAGAGTGAGACTCCATCTCAAAAAATAAATAAAATGTTTTTAAAAAGGTCAAAGTGCTATAAAATTTAACATGTACTGTTTAAATTTATAAAGGATATGCAGTGATAATTATGCATATGCATTTTTTGACTTGTTAGCTACATTCTTTTTTAACTATACTTGCTTTATTAAGCTCTACATTTTATCCTGCATTAATATGAATCATTTGAAATACTTTATTCTAATTTAAATTTGAAAATACTGTTTCCTGAAAAAATGTATTTTATTTTGGAGGCTCTTCATTTTTAAAAATTTCTGGTTTATATTCTGAGCAAATTAAAATTAGCTTTTTTGGCCATTTAAAAATGTTAAAAGAATGTGAGTGCATTAAGAGATATAATGACCACTATAATTACTACTTGACCTATTTTTATATTCACTACCTAACATTTATTTAATGCCTGCTAAATACTAGGCAGTATAATTGGGCCAAGTTGTGTGATAGAATATATATTTGATTCTTTAAATTTTTGGTTTTTTATTATAACAGTGTGCTCAGTTTAAACAGACAAAGATAAGAACAGTTGCCATCATTTTAAAATAACTGAAGTTAGAAATCTGATATGATTGATTTAAAATCTTTACCTCTGCAATTACCTCTAAGACCTTTTAAGACCCTGCAATGATCCACCGACCCACTCCACTTCTTACACCTCTCTGGCCTTGTTTTTTGTTACTCTTTCTCTTAGTCACCTTGCGCTATCCATACTGACCATCCTCTTTTTGTTTGTGCTGTCAGCAGCATCTTCTGTGAATGTCCCTTAGATGTCCTCATGTTTTAGTTTCCTCTTCACAAGTACTTTTCTGCTCTTCTCTGCTTTATTTTTCTCTTTTCAACATTCTAAATACTGTATTCATTCAAAATACTTAATTATCTTGTTTGTCTCTCTCTACCACTAGAACATATGTGCCACAAAATAGTGTCTGGCATGTTGTAGGCACTGAATAAATATTTGTTGAATGAATAAATATTCACACTTATCGTGATGGTGTACTTTTTTAAAAAAACAGAATCATGCAAACATATTACTCTAATACTTGTTTTCCCCTCTCTTAGTAACTGATAGATATTGTCATTTGATAGTGATTTTAAGTTACTGCAGAATAGTCCATAATAAGTTTGTTTCCAGTTTTTTCTCACGACAAATAAAGTTGTAATAAACACCCTTATACATATTTTTAAAATATTTTGCTCCTTTTATTTTTATGAAGTAAGTTCCTTCATGTGGGTCAACATACAGTAGTTCCTTTTTTTGTGGTTTTGCTTTCCCTATGGTCTGAAAATATTAAATGAAAAATTCCAGAAATAAACAATTCATAAGTTTCGTGTTGCATGCCGTTTTGAGTAGTGTGATGAAATTTTGCGCCGTCCTTTTCTGTCCCACCTGGGACATGAATCCTTTTGTCCGGTGTATCCACTTAGTAACCCTCAGTTATCAGATTGACTGTTGAGATATCACAGTGCTTGTGTTTAAGAAACCCTAATTTTACTTAATAATGGCCCCAAAGTGCAAGAGTAGTGTTACTGGCATATTGTTATAATTGTTCTATTTTATTGATATTGTTGCTTATCTTTCATTGTGCCTAATTTATAAATTTTATCATGGGTTTCTATGAAAAAACATATATATAGAGGGTCCAGTGCTATCCAAGGTTTCAGGCATCTACCAGGGATCTTGGAACGTATTTATTCATCATGGATAAGTGCCCGATAAGGGGGCACTAATGTATTTTTAGTTTAGTAGATACTTGCAGAATACTTTCCTAGTACCATCAGCAATACACCAATGTCATTTCCTTGTATTCTTGCCAGCCTTATTTAACCTTAATATTTATACTTTCAAGAGCCTTAGTTTTAAGATAAGTGAAAAGAAGCTTCTTTTAAATGTCATTGTGTATTTTTCCATAATATTGAAACCAAAGGTAATGAAGAATTCTTAATCATAAATTAATTCCATCTAAATTGATTCCTCCACATGCATTATATACTTTTATGTGTAGTTTTGAGTGAGCATGGAACATATGTAAAATTTTAAATTATACAGGAGCCACTTTTTTCCTGAACGACAGCCCATATTTTTATTTGAAAGATTATCAGATTGGGATATTAGAGTTTGGTTCACTATTTTTTAGTTATAATTTACATCTGGGAAAATGTACTTCTTTAGCCTTCTGAGTTATATTACATTCTGGCTTCATCGCTGGAGTTGGTCTTGACTGGTCTGAGTTGAGATTCTCCATACGTAAGTTATTCCTTGTATAAAAGTGCTTCTTTGGTCAGTCTTTCTATTTTGGAAAATTTGGTTTATAAAAACTGCTGCAGTAAGCTGGGCATGGTGGTACATGCTTATAGTCCCAGCTACTCGGGAGGCTGAGCCCAGGAGTTCAAATCCGACCCGGCCAATGTAGTGAGACCCAGTCTCTACAAAAGAAAAAGAAATCAGTGGCCATTATATTAAGGCACCAGATTTTTTAATACTTATTCAGTAAATGTTTATTTGTTGAGCATTTACTAAGTAGAAGAGTCCCTGCTCGGGAGTAGTTCCATCTGGTCAAGCTATGGAATCTTCTTAACAGTTAATTACTTGCTCTCTTAGAACATTAACAACTAAGTTATGTTCTTGTCTTGGCTGTTAGAATCCCTAGCAGGTATTTTAAACTTACATTTTTGATATAGTTATTTCACCCCCTTCACTTCATTTTAGTTTTTTTTCCTCTACCTTTTTTTTTTTTTTTTGGTAAACTTTTAGGGAGCTAGATAATAGTATATTTTTCAAACACAACCTATCCCATTCTCGGTTTCACACATTTCATTCTCGGATTATTGCTTTCTATCTTTTCAACTTTACACCCTCTAGAATTCTACTTTTAATAATCCTGCCAACACCACCGACCAATAAATGGTAAGAACCATTTATGTCATACTACCCTTTCATTATTCCTTACTCCTCTCTTTCTTCTTATTCTCACATGAACCTCAGTAACTAAATGTGTCAAGAAAAAACAATCTTTACGACTAATTTTACTTGAAATATGTGACAACGAACCCTTTTATGCTGACCAGTAGCTATACTAGGTTTCCCTAGCCCTTTAATGCTGACCAGTAGTTAAAATGCTGCATTTCCTTAGTTTAATTTAATCTTCCGTTCATCTAGACCACTGTTTCTTACTTTCTCCCTTATCCTAAGAACTCCAGCATCACCTCTCTTTCACCTTCAGTAGGTGACCTTGCATCCTGAGAAAATTGAATCATCGGAAGAAAACTTGCAAAGACTTTCCCTACACCATCTATCTGCCCACCAGTACCTGCATCTCCTCTTCTTTACCTTTAATGAGAAAATGGAAGCGTCAGAAGAAAACTTCCAAAGACTTTGCCTACCCTATCTATCCACCCACCAACATCTATACCCATATACTTCCTACCGGTGACTAGATAAACTTTTTTTTTTTAGACAGAGCCTTGCTCTGTCCCCCATGTTGGAGAGCAGTGGCACGATCTCAGCTCACTGCAACCTCCACCTCACAGGTTGAAGTGATTCTTCTGCTTCAGCCTCCGAAGTAGCTGGGATTACAGGCATGGGCCACCATGCCCTGCAAATTTTTGTATTTTTGGTAGATATGGGGTTTCACCATGTTAGCCAGGCTGGTCTTGAACTCCTGACCTTAGGCAATCTGCCACCCTTGGCCTCTCAAAGTGCTGGGAATAACAGGTGTGAGCCACCGCACCCGGCCTAGATAAACTTTTGGTAACCAGTCCCTTCATTGTGTACTAGATCCTATATGGTTTCTCCTTCTCAACAGCACTGTCGGTAGCAATTCTCTTTTCTTTCTCCTATTTTTTCCCTCTCTTGAATCATTCTCATCAGCATACACACTTATATCTCCAATCTTAAACACAGAAAACCTTTTGACTTCAACCCTCTTGCCTCAGCCTTTTAGCTACAGACCCATTTCTCTGCTTCCCTTTGCAAAAAGATCCCTGAACCGCCGCTTTCAGTCACCTTCATTTTTTTCCCATTATCCTGAATCTGTTCCTGACAGGCTGGCTCTCACTCCCACAACTCACTAAAATTAAGCTTTTGTGGTTTCCAGTGACTTTCATGTAGCTAAATCCAATGGTTGCTTCTCCTCTCCATCTTTATCTTACTGAATAAGTAATAATATTTGATATACTGTCTTCACTTGGCTTTAATGCCACTGCAGGTTCTTTTTTTCCTCCTACCTGTCTGGATGTTCCTGTCTCCTCTTGCTGGTTCCCTCTTCTCCCCTACCTTTTAGTGAAAAGCCTTTTGACTCGTTACATGGTCTTCTTTATCCACTGGTGATCTTATCTTGCCCACTAACTTTAAAGGTACACCAGTTGATCCCAAATGTGTACCTCTAGCCCAGACTTCTTTGCTAAACTTCAGTCTCATATATTCAGCTAGCTACTCAACATGTCCATTTGAATACCTAATTAGACATCTCACACTTGATGTGTCCAAATATGAACTCCTGATCTTTGCCCACCCCAAACCCACAACTCTAATTGCTCAGGCCAGAAACCTTGAAGTCATCCTTAATTTCTCTCTTTACTCCATTGTATTGAAAAATCTTGTTACCTTTGCCTGAAAATCAGTTACTCGGGAGGTGGAGTTGGGAGGATCACCTGAGCCTGGGGAGGTCACTGCAGTGAGCTGTGATTGTGCTACTGTACTCCAGCCTAGGCAACAGTGTGAGACCTTGTCTCAAAATATAGGTATATAATCTTAATCACTTCTCACCATGGTTCAAACAATTAATTTAATCTCATACTTGCATTAGTCATTTAACTGGTCTCCCTGATTCCATCATTGCTTGTAGTTTATGTAGCACTCTGAGTGATCCTCTTCAATTATCTAAATCAAATCATATCACACTTCTGTTCAGAGCCCGACAATGACTTTCCATTTCCCTCTCAGTAAAAGATAGTCTTTCAAATGCTCTGCAAGGCCTTAGGTTATCAAAGCCTCCGGATACTGTTCCCTGAAACTCATTTTCTACTGTTCTTAGCCATGCTAGCTTACTTGAATATATTGGGTCCAATTCTAACTTAGAGCTTTTGTACTGGCTCTTCTCTTTGGCTAACATATTTCGTGTCCTTCAAGTGTTCACTTAACTTCATCTCATGAGGGGTACACTGATTACCCTATTTAAAAATCAAAACCCCCCATTTGTCTCCATACACACATTTTTCATCTCGCTGCTTTTTCCCCTTTTTTACATTGCACTTATCACCTTTTAACAAACTATAATGTATGCGTTCTATTTATCTGTATCAACCCTCTTCTAACCAACTAAATGTAAACTTGGTGAAGGCAGGGATGTTTTATCCGTTTTGCTGATGAAACTAGAACCATGCATAGCATATAGCAAGTTACCAGAAAATTTTTGTTGGATCTTCTCCCTACCTTCCTTTGAAACTTCTTAATCTCTTTCTTCTGTTGATCTTACTACTCTTTATTGAGAAATGAAATCTTGATGCTACCTTTAGGTTCTTACTTATTTTTGCCTCCCATTCTTTACATCCAGTCAGTGAATTAACTTGGTAAGTTAACTTAGACCAGTATCTGGCACATATTAGACCCTCTATATATTGGCTGTATCAGCACTGTCGTCATGATCATTATCATCATCACTACCATCACCTTTTATTTAACTTTGGCAGTCTCTGTGTCTGCCTTCTGTTCCATCCACTTCCTCTCTGAGTGGTCACTTCTCACTCAAAATTTTGCATTTGGCTTCTTAAAAGTCTCCCTGTGTGTGTGTGTGTGTCCCTCTCTTTTGTCTTCAGTATTCCTTTTCTGCTCCACTGTAACTTCCAGTTTCACTTTTTTTTTTTTTTTTTTTTTTGTAAAGACGGAGTCTCGCTCTGTTGCCAGGCTGGACAGCCGTGGCGCAATCTTGGCTCACTGCAACCTCCGCCTCCTGGGTTCAAGCGATTCTCCTGCCCTCAGCCTACCGAGTAGCTGGCACTACAGGCACGCATCACCATGCCCAGCTAATTTTTGTATTTTTCCTAGAGACAGGATTTCACCATGTTGGCCAGAATGGTCTCGATGTCTTGACATCGTGATCTGCCCGCCTTGGCCTTCCAAAGTGTTGGGATTACAGGCATGAGCCCACATATTTTTTTTTAATACACAGGTGCGACGCCTTACTTTCTCCTCAGAAACCCACAGTGCCTCTTTGTTGATTGCATGGGAAATTCTAAACATTCAGGTCCTCGTCTCTTATTTCTCCAGGCTCATCTTTCACTATGGTTCTCTACTCCTCACATATCCCATTCACTTTCATATATCCAAATCTGCAGTGCAGTATTTGTTTAGTCTGGACTGGCTCTCCCCAATTCCTTAAATTCTCATTTTATAAAGCCTAACTCCCAAGTGTCACTTTGTTTCCTGAGCCCTCAATTAGAAGTCATCAGTTGGGTTAGTGCCCTCTCCCATTCCACAGTGAAGTTATTCTACAACTTGACCCTTTTTCTCAAAGCCTCTAACCTCCCCCACATACACTAACAAACATGACAGCAGTTCTCCAAGAAGTAAAATGAGATTTAGGCTTATGAGAGAAAGTGAGACAAAATATAGAAAGTGAGACTGAGTTTTTAGTTGTATTTTCTTATGCCTCTGGACATATTTGAATCTTCATGGTTTAGTTACTCTTTCCATATGCTGTCTGGGTTTTTCTATCAGTTGTTAGCACCTCTCCCTATGCCTTTATCTTCAATTTCTACTGTTTTACTAACTCCTACCCACTACCTACAGCTTCAGTCAAGGCAGAGGTACAATCAAGGTAGCTCTATCCTAATGGAACTTTTTCCCAAATTTAGTATTTTGCTTTTCTTTTAATGTTTATAATAATCTCTGTGTCTTATTAACTATTTTAAATTAAATCTCAGCTCAGAACCATGTGACCTGCTTCTCCAATAAACTAACTGTGGTGGAGGTAACCAATGGCATCTCAACAGACAAATCCTTGTTTTTTTAAATTTTATTTTATTTTTTGTTTGTTTTCAGTTACAAAGCACGCCAAATCCATTTACCTCTTCAATTCTTATTGATGCCCACTTTTATGAGGTTTACCAGTGTTGATCTGGCCTTCCTTCTCCCATTGGAGTTGCTTTCTCCTGTTTGTCTTCCTCTATCTGATTATGCCTTTCAGAAGCCTCATTTGTTCTTCCTTTACCCCTTAGATATTCTCTCTGTCACACACATATATACATAAACTCTCTCTCTACATATATATGTATAATATTTATATATTTTATTATATATAGCAAAATAGTAGGTATATGTGTGTATGTTTATAGACCCTCACAGTTATACCTTTTTCCTCTGGTTACCTCATTTATTAGTTTCAGCTACCACCTGCAAACTTATAATGCCTCTTTTCCTGTATCTGTTGATCCACACTTGCTAATTCTGCTTACTTTTAGAGCTCCATGCCATGTAAAGTTGGGTCATTTTGTAGCCATAGCTTGGTATCTCCCCCCCCAGAAACTTTCCCTAGGACCTCTGAATTAGTGCCCTACCTACTCTTAGTGACTATTAAGAGGGTTAGTAAAATATATCAGATTATCAAAACACCGGCATTAAAACTCCAAAATTTAGACACCAGTAAATACTTACCTCTTAGGGTTAAACTCTGAAGTTGGATAATCCAGACTCAAATTACTCTTGCCAAAGGGCTACCCCTGACTGACTCTACACGCCCTGAGAAATTTGCATATCTAAGACCCAGCCACACCCTATGACCTACCCAAACCTACCACCCCCATCAACATGTAGCACATATATGCTTAAATGAAATCCTGGTTTCTGAATTAAAACTCTTATACTTTTAAAAAAGTTCTCCACCCCCAAATTCCCCCCGCCCCCCACTTAAATAGCAGTCATAATTAGCTCCTGCTACCAGACAAGTTCAAAATTCCAGCAAAATGAACAACCTATCATGGATGAGCCAAAACTCTAAAACTTCATTTGCTGTTTTGAGCCTCCCCCAAACCATTCCTTTCCCGGGATTTTTCTGTCCAAACAGATATGACACAGATAAAATATTGGTTTTGTTATTCCTAATCCTGAAGGAGAGAGACTTAATACACCCTTGTAGCCACAGCTGCTTTGTTAATAAGCTTTTCTGGTGCACATTTCACCTTCGTTTTCACTCCTCCTCTCCCTCATATACCTACTTACCTCTTCCACAAAGTCAAAGCTAGACAGAACAACCACACTTCTACCTCCTTCACTGGGGTCCACTTGGAGAAAACACATAAGCAAGGCTCAAATGAGCTGAGTCACACATGCTCAGTTGCTTCTTTCAAACTCACCAATCAGATATTACTCCTCCCTTGTGGTGATCCAGGGAGTAAAGGTCATCAGTTACTGTTTTGTTCCTAATACTTCAGCAGGGGTAAAAGCTCCTCCTCTACTGATCTTAAGATTGGAGCTTTCTGGGAGTCCAGCATAAATTTCCAGGGTTAGGATGCAGGCAGTTTCTGTATCTTTAGCTTTTAGATGCATTCTTTCCTAAAATCCGTCTGCCTGGGAAAGTATGGGTATTCTGCATGGTTTTCCTTCAATGTTTCCCTTTTCAGGAACAAGACTTATCTCTTACCTAGCCTAAGGTAAGTATGTTGCATTGCCCCAGGGTGTGAAAACTTGGTGGTGGGCCAAACTTTTCAAGAACCTAGCTGAGAGCTGGTTTGACTGTCTTGGGTTATCAAAACTTTTTAAATTTGGCTTTAAAAAAGAAAAAAAGAACCTAAGAGAAGGTTAATTTGAAAGGCAGGACAGAGAGTATCTAGCAAAAGCACAACACTTAAAAGATGAAGTCAGACTTTTTTGAATGGAAACTAAATACTGTTTGACTTATGAATTTGTGAGGACTGGTTTTACATATTGTAGGCTCCGTGCCTTAACTGACATTGTTTTTACACATATTTAAAATACACATAAAATAATTCAGAATGCTAGATTATGGGTGGAGAATAGTTTTTAAGAAACATCTTTTAGGTGACATGCAGACAGAGTTTAAAGATGATTTTCATACCTTTATGAACCAAGAATGAAAATTTAACAGTTTAAATAGTTTATTAAGATATATTTTTGGACTTTTAAATCTACACTTAGTTTTTTGACTGTGAAAGTAATAATGTACTCATTTTAACAAATAGAAACAATGTATAGTTATATAAAGTAAAATTGAAAGACACCGTCTTTCTGCTATCCCTCTTCCTGTTCCACTCTCCAGAGGTAGTCTCTGTTAGCCTTTTATTTATAACTTTTATGGGGTTTTTTCTGTGTTTATACAAATCGATGCACAAAGAGGGTTCTCTTCTCTCATAAAAGTGATTATTAGTCTTCAGTGTGCCTTTTTTTCCTCCTAACAAATGTAAACTGGAAGCATTTTCCCAAGTACATATGGTGGCTATCTAGTATTCTGTTAATATATCCTGTTAATTTATTCCTTCCCATTGATAGATTTACCTGGTTGCCATGTATTGCCATTATAATCAATTTGCAAAGAAAATTGCTGAACCCTTGAGTTTTTCACTAGAGATAGACATTTTATAGAATAAGTTGTTAGGATAAGCAGTTTGTAATTTTTTCTTAGGAGCCTTTCAAATTAGTTTTTCTAAAATGTAAATATTCATGCCGACAGCAGTACAGGAGATAATTCAGTTTCTCAGACTTGTGCTGATATCTGATGCTTTTTTAAATTTTGCCAAATTAATGATCAAAAAATGGTTCTTTGTCAGTTCAACTTACATGTCCTTAATGATTAAAAGCTACGTATTTGTTTATTATTTACCCATTTTAAAATTAGTCTTATATTGTTAATTTGATCTTGATATTGTAAAAATAATGTCTCTTTAGAGTGGTTTGAATATGATCTTGATAAAACAATGACTTGAACTAGATGACTTTGAATTTTATGATATCATGGTTTCCTTATTATTAAATGATTATGTGACAACTTTTTCTCCAGGGTAAATTTCAATGTTATATCTCTGCTTTATTGATCTTTAACAGTTAAGGGAAGAAAGTCGGAGGCTGGCTTTGGCTGCGAAAAGAGAAAAAAGAAAAGAGAAGAGAAGGAAGAAAAAGGAAGAGCAAAGAAGAAAACTAGAAGAAATCGAAGCCAAAAATAAAGAAAACTTTGAACTCCAAGCTGCTCAAGAAAAAGAAAAGCTTAAAGTTGAAGGTATTTTCTCAACAACCATCCCATTTGTTTTATATTCTAGTTAAAATTATATTTACTTGATTATCAGTCACTCTTGAAAATATACTTTTAAGTTATTAAACCCTTAAGATAGGCCATGCACAGTGGCTCACGCCCATAATCCCCGCATTTGTAGCAGGTCAAGGTGGGAGAGTCACTTGAGTCTAGGAGTTCAAGACCAGCCTGGGCAACAAAGTGAGACTGTCTCTACAAAAAAAGAAAAAAAAAAATTTTAATTAGCTGGGCACAGGAGCATACCCCTGTAATCCCAGCTAGCTACTGGGAATAAGGGAGTAAGGTGGGAGGATCACTTCAGCCTGGGAGGTTGAGACTGGAGTGAGCCATGATGTGGCACCACTGCACTCCAGCCTGGGTGACAGAACAAGACCCTGTGTCAAAAAAAAGAGAAAAGAAAAGATATATGCTTTTTTTGTTGTTGACCGAATTCCTCCCTAACTTTGTTATGAAAAATTTCAAACCTACAGACAAGTTGACAGATGATAAAATGAATACCTGAATACATTACACCTAGATTGATAAAATTGTTAACATTTTACCATATATGCTTTATTTTTCTCTTTAAGTACTTCCACATATTTTTTTCTGAGCCATCTGAAAGTAAATTGCAGACATCCTGACACTGCACCTATAAGTCCTTTTCTCTTTTTTTTTGAGACCGAGTCTTGCTCTGTCGCCCAAGCTGGAGTGCAGTAGCGTGCTCTCGGCTCACTGCAACCTCTGTTTCCTGGGTTCAAGCTATTCTCCTGCCTTAGCCTCCCAAGTAGCTAGGACTACAGGCATGCGCCACCACGTCCACCTAATTTTTGTATTTTTAGTAGAGAGGGGATTTTGCCACGTTGGCCAGGGTAGCCTCTAACTCCTGATCTCAAGTGATCCCCCCCACCTCAGCCTCCCAAAGTACTGGGATTACAGGTGTGATCCACTGCGCTGGCCACCTATAAATAATTAAGCCCACATCCCAAGAATGACATTTGCTTACATCATCATAATACCGTTTTAGGTATTATAAATGGTAATTTCATAATATCATCTACAATTCAGATCATCAGTTTCTTCAAATGAGGGAATTATTTTTAACTAGGTTGTAATCAAAAGGTTATTTGGGATGGAAGTATAGTAATCCTGTCCCTTCATATCCACAGGGAATGGTTTCCAGGACCCTCATGGATACCAAAATTCAGATACTTAAGTCTTTATATAACATGGTGTAATATTTGCATAAAAATTATGCACATTCTCCCATATACTTTAAATCATCTCTATATTACCTCTAATACTTAATATAATGTAAATGCTGTGTAAATAGTTGTTATACTGTGTTTTTTTAATTTGTATTTTTTTATTGTTTTGTTTTTCGAATACTTTCAATCTAGTGTTGGTTAAATCTGTGAATAAAGAGGACTGACTGTATTGTGGGAAGGAACCATTGCCATGAAACCACCAAAAATTTGTGCATGCAATGTGTATATGTGTGTTTGTGTTGTTTTTTGTTTTTTGTTTTTTTTAATTTCCCTTCTCCAGCCTTGTATTTTGAAAATTTTCAAACTACAGAAAAGTTTAAGGATTAATATGGTGAACACCTCTATGTCACCTACATTTTTAAAGCTTGGCACACATGGGATATGTCTTCTCTTTTTTTGAGTAGTTTACATGTAAGCTATACACATCACGTGAAATCACCCCTAGATATTTGATTACGTATTTCCCAGAAAGAGGACATGATTTTACATAACTGCAACATTAAGAAATTTAATTATTATATAATAATACATAATATACAGTAATACTTATATTTTCCAAACTGTCCTCCAAATTTTTTTTCTCTGAGAAAAGGATATATACACACACACACACACACATTTTTTTTTTTAAATTCAAGTAGCTGCAAATAGGAAACCAGAGGGAGAGCCCCAGGATGGGACAAATCATGGCTACCCCTCCGCAGCAGAGCAGGGGGAGGAGGTGCTCCCTACACCCTTTATGGTCGATTCGGGCCCCCTTGCTCACTCTGCTGCAGCATCCTAGGGGCAGGGCCCCACCTTCCCTGGGACTGGGGTAGTCACTCACCCAGCCTGCCATGCCCCAGCCCCTCTTCCCCACGAAGAGTATCTTATGAGAGGGGATTGTGGGCAGAACAGGAGGCAATGAGGATGAACATTTGATGCTGGTAGCGGCAGCAATGACAGATGTCGAAGAATGGAACACTGAACAAAAAACACCACCACTGTCCAGAGGTAGTTTGTGAACAGAGGAAAAATGGAACCAGAACCTTAGGGGGCAGGGAGGAGCAGGAGGGTTGGGAACAGGCAGGGTGAGCTCCTTGCTATTGGTGCCCCTTCTGAGGAGGGGGAAATGGCCGAGTGGCGGAAGCAAAGTAAGGTTGGGAGAGCGGCCCCAGCCCACCTCAGGCGGTGGCCACAGGACTTGTGGGCCTCACCTAGACAATAAGTGACTGCATCTCTATCACCTCAATAGGTACTCAGATCCCAAGCAAAGGGCAAGGGGGCTGGGGCCACAGTAAAGAGGGAGTAGGAGGCTCACACCCCTCCTGCCTTCCTGTAGCCAAAGGGGACTGTCCAACCTAGTGCAGGGACTAGGGGAGGTGGGAAAGGATGAAAACTGTGAGCCCCACGTAGTGACAAACACAGTTTGGCTGGGGGAATCCTGGGGCCAGCACTCCCTCCATTGGCCACACCTGCTACCAGGGCAGTGGAGTAGGGCGTGCCAGGATGAGATGGGGCTTGGACCCCTTTTAAGGCCAGGGAACCTTCCCAGGCCACACTCTGGGAAGCCAGAGGGAACAGTGGAGGAGCAGAGAGGTTGCCCCAACCCCAGAGAGCAATGTTGCTACTACTAAGGGAGTTGGGATGCAACAGGTGCAGGGTGTGGCTAAGTGGGATGTTAGCCTTGTCCAGGAGGGTACGTGTGTATGCGTGGGTCAGCAGGGGGAGCTGGGAACTGAGGCCCGAGGAAAACTGCTTCCCACTCAGCCCACAGGGGCCCTGCAGTAGCTGGTGTGCTGTGTAGTGTGGTGGTGAGGGTACAGGTGGAAGATGGAGGTGGTGGCCGTAAGCAGTGGTGATGGTGGGCCTGGGGAAGGGGTGGGGGCGGTGGGAGCACAGCAAAAGCTGTCCAGTCCCAGAAGGAAGATGCTCCTTCAAATGAGGCACAGGCAGCACACACGGTCACTGCTTCTCCTGCGAGGACTCCTGCGAGATGCCCCCCTCTTCCTCCTTCTCCAGTTTTTTGGGTCTGCCGCTTGGTTTCCTTCCTGGAGTAGTGGTGGTTTTCCGTGTCTTGGCAGCTCCCTTGTTTTTGCTTCCCTTTGGTTGGTCCCAAGGTCTCTTAGGTGTTGGCACTTTACTGGGCTCCTTCTGACTTCCTACCAGTGCTATCCTGGGACTCACCAGAGGCTGCTTGCGGGGCCTGCCCCTGCCCGACTTCTCAGTGCTGTCCATTTCCTGCCTGGAGGCCAAGGGCTGGCTGCGCTTCGAGCTCGACTCACTCATCTTCCCTTCTCTAAGGAGCAGGTGGAAGAGTGCTGGCTTGAATGGCCTTCTTGGAGCCACGCCAGCACCAGAAATGCCTCCCAAAACATTTTTTATAACTACCTGCTGTTCTTTGAACAGAACGTGAGGACACAGAGTATATCAGTCCTGTCCAACTCATTACCAATGAATGTGAGAATAACTTACATGGCTAATAGTAATAGAGTATCTCTCCTGAGTTTTTCTTTCCTTCAAGTGCTTATAGCTAAATACATTCTGGGAACATTTAGAACTTGCTAATTCAGTATTGCTACTTTTACAGATGAGCCTGAAGTCTTGACAGAACCTCCAAGTGCCACAACCACTACTACCATAGGTATATCTGCAACCTGGACAACTTTGGCAGGTTCTCATGGTAAAAGAAATAATACCATAACTACAACCAGTTCAAAGAGGAAAAACAGGAAAAATAAAATTACTCCAGAAAACGTTCAAATTATATTTGATGATCCACTACCAATTTCATACAGTCAGCCAGAGAAGGTGAATGGAGAATCCAAGAGCAGCAGTACCAGCGAGAGTGGGGACAGTGATAACATGAGGATTTCCAGCTGCAGCGATGAAAGTAGTAACAGCAACAGCAGTCGTAAGAGTGACAATCATTCACCAGCTGTGGTCACTACCACTGTGAGCAGCAAAAAGCAGCCATCGGTTCTTGTTACATTTCCAAAGGAAGAGAGAAAATCTGTTTCTGGCAAGGCTTCAATAAAGTTAGTTCCAATTTTTATTTTCAATGTTTATAGTGTCATGAAATACCTTATTACTGAATTTTTTGGTAAAGAAAGTAAATTCACAGCTTGCAAAATAGGATTTTTCTTTGTGCTAAAGAAGGTACAGTTTCATTTGAATTGAAGAATAAGCTTTTGCTTAGATTTTGTATTAATGAGACATCAAATTATTTTTACTATATAATTTCTTTTTTTTTTTTTGGTTGTTAAACTTAGCACATGAAAAGTATGGATTCTGGTTTCGAAGGGGTTATTACTGTGATTCAACTCTGCTAAATGTGTACCCTAGATAGTATCTTCTTAAAGTTGGCTCTTTAGGCTGGGCACAATGGCTCATGCTTGTAATAATAGCTCTTTGGGAGGCCAAAGTGGGAGGATTGCTTGGGCCCAGGAGTTCAGCACCAGCCTGGACAACATAGGGAGACCCTGTCTCTACAAATAATTTTTTTTTTTTAATTAGCCGATGTGATGGCATGCGCCTGTGGTCCCAGCTACTTGGGAGGCTGAGGCAGAAGGATCACCTGAACCCGAGAGCTCAAGGCTGCAGTGAGCTGTGATTGCACTGTTGCGCTCCAGCCTGGGTAACGGAGCGAGACCTGTCTCAAAAAGAAAAAAAAAGCTCTTTATATTATATGCTAAATATGAGGAGAAGTGAAAAATAAGGTCGTCATTTGTTATTTAAAAATAAGTTTTAAAAAATTGTGTAGTAGACTACCTTTATCATTTTAAAATTCTACATCTGTTCCGTATTTAATGTACTTTCCCTCTCTCTGTTAAAGATTGTCAGAAACTATCAATGAAGGGACCAGTAATTCTCTATCTACTTGTACAAAATCTGGTCCATCTCCCCTTTCCTCTCCAAATGGGAAGTTAACAGTAGCAAGTCCTAAGCGTGGGCAAAAGAGGGAAGAAGGATGGAAAGAAGTTGTAAGAAGGTGAGTAATTGTTTTTCTCATTCTTTTTATGTGCTATATATCACAGTCAAGTGTTATTTACCTTGTAATTAAATTCTTCCTACTCTTCTAAAAGTTGCAGACAAACTGATGGTTCAAGGCTAAATTTGACCAACAGAAAGAGCCTGTGCCATATTTTAGATGAAAAAAAATTACATGTTAATTTGGCCCCTCAAAAGTATTGGAATTTGTTTAAGATTGTGTCTTTTTCAGCTTTGTTATCTCAAAGCCCTATATAATACAAAGAATTATTATAAAAGCTACTTGTAAATATTTGATGAGTGAGTGGGTAATGATTTTAAATTGTTGATCTAATAATAGTAACTTGTCTTTAAATCATAGGATAATTTCATTTTAAGGGTTTCAGGATAAAAATCTTTTGTTTTGCCTGGGATTTTAAAAATAATATGTATCCAAGAGTAGGAATACAATATCCCAGAAACTTAAAAGGAGGTAAGACACCTGAAATCTGGAAAAAATGTGATCCTTTGTAACTCTTTGATAACTTATTTTAAAGAACTTTCCAGAAATATCATAAAAATTTAAACTTTGATTGTCTGAAACAAAAGCTATGGTGAACCAAACTTAGTAACTACTGTTAATCCCTAAGTGCAGTATACAGTTTTTTGGTTTATTCTCTCCGTATTTTGGACCAAATCTTGCCCCCGTCATAACTATGTTTATTTCTGTCTCTTTTTTCATACACGATAAACACATTCTCTCGTTCACTCCTTCACATACACTCTATTGGATTAATTGAAATCACATCATCAGAATATTCTCTGTACAATGATAAGAGATTTTTGTATAGATTTTGTAGATTTTTGTACAAAAAAATAAGGTTTTTGTATATGCATTTAATGTTGTGTTATGCAAATAAGTTTTTCACTAATTTGGAAATGATGATCACTGGCTGATTATCATGCCCCTTAGGGAAAAAGTAATTGTCAGGTAACTTAGAACAGGGATCATGCCCTTCCTTTTAGAAAATATGACAATTTTTAATACTTAACCATTCTCAATAAATAATTTACTTGTTTGAACTATACTTGACTGTTTCTCTTTATTGAGAACTTTATACTGTATTTCTTTTAGAAATATTCTTTAATCAGCTTATCAGGAATTTGGGCCTGACACCTGTGGCTCATGCTTATAATCCCAGCATTTTGGGAGGCCAAGACAAGAGGATCACTTGACGCCAAGAGTTCGAGACTAGCTGGGCAACATAGCAAGACCCCATCTCTGCTAAAAACAAAATTTAAAAATTAGCTGGGCAAGTGGTTCGTGCTTGTAATCTCAGCTACTTGGGGAAGGTGGGAGGATTGTTTGTGCCCAGGAGTTTGAGGCTGCAGTGAGCTATGATCATACTACTGCATTCCAGCCTGGGTACAGAACGAGACTCTATCAAAAAAAAAAAAAGGAAATCGATATCCACCTTTCCTGGACCTGAATGTTTAAAATTAAAATGTAATTTTGCAAGTATTAGATGGATATTGCTTTTTTTTTTTTTTTTTTTGAGTTGGAGTTTGACTCCTGTTGCCCAGGCTAGAATGCAATGGCATGATCTCAGCTCGCTGCAACCTCTGCCTCCCAGATTCAAATGATTTTCCTGCCTCAGCCTCCCGAGTTGCTGGGATTACAGGTGCATGCCACCATGCTTGGCTAATTTTTTGTATTTTTAGTAGAGATGAGGTTTCACCATGTTGGCCAAGCTAGTCTTGAACTCCTGACCTCAGGTGAACCACCCGCCTTGGCCTCCCAAAGTGCTGGGATTACAGGCGTGAGCCACCGTGCCCAGCCTCAGATTTTGCTTTTTAAATTCTAGTAGGATTTTCTTTTTCCGGACATTATTAAAGATTTTTAGAAAGTTTTCATATTTGTGGATAGTCATTTTAATGCTGCTAGAAGAATACAGGGAAGTAATGAATTTTTTTTTTCTTTTTTCCTGAGAAGGAGCCTTGCTCTGTCGCCCAGGATGAAGTGCAGTGGTGCAATCTCAGTCCACGGAAACCTTCACCTCCTGGGTTCAAGTGATTCTCCCGCTTCAGCCTCCTAAGTAGCTGGGATTACAGGCACACACCACCATGCCTGGCTAATTTTTGTATTTTTTTCAGTAGAGACGGGATTTCACTATGTTGGCCAGTCTGGTCTCGAACTCCTAACATCAAGTGATCCGCCTGCCTCAGCCTCCCAAAGTGCTGGGATTTACAGGCATGAGCCACCATGCCCGGTCATGAATGTTTAATATCACTCTTTGAGTTATATGTATTAGAGACTAAAAAAAAGCGTATGAGTAAAGCACCAAAGGGGCCCACAAGAAGTCTTTCTTGACTCTTGAGGCTAGATTAGATACCCAACCATCATATATATACACATACATATATAATATATATACACACATATAGATACATATGTAAATACTTGACTACATATATATCTATATGTGTGTATATATATTATACGTGTGTGCGTGTGTGTGTACACACTTGCAACACATGACGTGGTGTTTTCGTAATTAGTGTGTACATAGTCTATATATGTGGGCAGAAATCCATGTCTATCTTATTTACCATTAGTATTTGCATTAGCACAGCACGTGTCTACATAGTACATGCTTAACAGATACAAGTCAAGAATGATGATCAACAAACTTTGATAATGAGATGAGAAGCTATAATAAAGCTTACATGTCTGTTGCTCCTGATTGCCTTTTCTCTGTTCATCTAGAATAGATGAGGCTTATTCAACAATATTCTGTATTTATAGAAAAACATTTTAGTAATACTCTTTCCCCTTTTTAAAATTACAATAACTATTGTTAATGATTAATCTTAATTTATATATACAACTTTTAAACAGATCAAAGAAAGTATCTGTTCCATCAACTGTGATATCCAGAGTGATTGGAAGAGGAGGCTGTAATATCAACGCTATTCGGGAGTTTACTGGTGCACACATAGATATCGATAAACAGAAAGACAAGACTGGAGACCGGATAATCACTATAAGGCAAAACTTTGTCTCTTACATTTTCTTCCTTTATTTTATTGCACTGTAGCTTAATGAAATATAGCCATATGAATTTTCAGTGGAACTTTGTGTTACATAGTATACTTTTTAAAATGGGAATGTTATTAGTGTTTGAGAAGATAAACTTTATAGTTTTCTTTTTTCCTAGTTAACACACTTTTGTGAAGTGTTTTAGAGACTTTTATAGGAATTTTGTATGCATGTGTAGCAAAGGTTTAAATAAATAATTTCTGTACATAAACTGTTTATATGACATTCTTAAAAATTTGTTCTGAGACTTTCAGGGAGGACGTTTCTAACATTTTAAGCAGTGGGTTTTTGTCTTTCTCAAATAACCTTTGAGATTTGTAACTCTGAGATTGTGTCTTTAGAATTTAAGTTCAGATTTGAATCTGAAGTGAAAATACAACTTATCTTGAATAACCCATTGAGTATGTCTGTGCCTGAACATTCTTAAAATAAAAGTGATGTTCTAAGAAATCATAAGAATGTAGGAAGCTATATTTAATTACTTTAAAGTAAATTCAAGTTCCTTTGAAAAAGAGTTTTATATTTTTTAGATGGCAGATATAAGTTTGTTTGTGTGAGGCAGATGCCCCTTTGCATTATATGGAAGGGCTAATAATTACATCATACCTCAAAAATAAGAAAGCAAGTAGCCATCTCAATTGTATTCATTGTCCTCTCCTTCTGACTGGTTTTTCCCTGCGTAGTCGGGTAGCCACAGCCCATCTTATCTAGAAAAGAGGGAACTAGATACCCTTTATTGGTAATTTCTCCCTTGTGTTTCCATAAATATAAAATATTTTCCTGAAGATCCAGCACTAAGGTTTTATATGGCTATTGTTGGCACTATCAGGATTCCTGCCTCATTTTAAGACATCTTCCCAGAGGAGTTACAATAATTATCCTACTAATAGAAAGACTACTAATGAATTTTTAGTAGATGGAGCCATCCCAGATACCAAGATTTAATATAAAATACTGTTTTCTTACTCGGTTTTATTATTTTCCTTGTTTACTTGTATTATTTTTAGTGTTGATTAACTGTTTCAATATTTTTAGTATTAAATGTTTCAGTAACACTGTGGATTACATAGGCTTTTATGTGCAGTGGTTTTTCTAACTGTAGTGTATTTTACAGTAGGAAAATGGTTTCTTAGTCTAAGGAAACAATAGTGAAATGTATTTTTGAAAAATAAGTCATTTACTATTCCTCTGAAAAATAAAAGTAGTAATTCAGGACAGTTTATCGCTTTGTTTGTAGAATGCCTCAAGAATGATAAGAAAATGGCTGCCCAGCTTTTGTTATCTGTCCTTTGTATGTGTGTATGTATGTACACACAAAACTGTGTGTGTGTTCGTGTACATACGTACATATTAAAAACGCTTTACATACTCAAAAGGAGGGATGATTCTACTTAATTTTTTTTCTCAATTTATAGGGGTGGCACTGAATCGACAAGACAAGCAACTCAATTGATTAATGCTTTGATCAAGGATCCAGACAAAGAAATTGATGAACTTATTCCAAAGAATCGTTTGAAAAGCTCCTCAGCAAATTCCAAAATAGGGTCATCAGCACCTACCACCACCGCTGCTAACACTTCCTTAATGGGAATTAAAATGACAACTGTAGCTCTGTCATCAACATCTCAAACTGCCACAGCACTCACTGTGCCTGCAATTTCTTCTGCATCCACTCACAAAACCATTAAGAACCCAGTGAATAATGTGAGGCCTGGTTTTCCAGTTTCTCTTCCATTAGCATATCCTCCTCCACAGTTTGCACATGCTTTGCTTGCTGCTCAGACTTTCCAGCAGATCCGTCCACCAAGGTTGCCCATGACCCACTTTGGAGGTACTTTTCCACCAGCTCAATCCACTTGGGGTCCTTTTCCTGTCAGGCCTTTGAGCCCTGCCAGAGCTACTAACTCGCCTAAGCCTCACATGGTGCCTCGCCATAGCAATCAGAATAGCAGTGGTTCTCAGGTGAATTCAGCAGGTTCTTTAACTTCAAGCCCAACAACTACAACCAGTTCATCAGCTTCAACGGTGCCTGGTACATCTACAAATGGCAGTCCAAGTTCACCTTCTGTCCGAAGGCAGCTTTTTGTCACAGTTGTGAAGACATCCAATGCCACCACAACAACAGTCACAACCACGGCAAGCAACAACAGCACTGCACCCACAAATGCCACATATCCTATGCCTACTGCCAAAGAACACTATCCAGTATCATCCCCATCTTCCCCATCACCACCAGCCCAGCCAGGAGGGGTTTCTAGAAACAGCCCTTTGGATTGTGGATCAGCATCTCCAAATAAAGTGGCATCTTCCTCTGAACAGGAAGCAGGTAGTCCACCAGTAGTAGAAACAACAAACACTAGACCTCCAAACAGCAGCAGTTCTTCTGGGAGTTCATCAGCTCATTCTAATCAGCAGCAACCTCCGGGATCTGTTTCTCAGGAACCAAGACCACCTCTTCAGCAGTCTCAGGTTCCTCCCCCGGAAGTTAGAATGACTGTTCCCCCTTTAGCAACAAGTTCTGCTCCAGTGGCGGTGCCTTCTACTGCCCCAGTGACTTACCCTATGCCTCAGACACAAATGGGATGCCCGCAGCCTACTCCTAAAATGGAAACCCCTGCTATTAGACCACCCCCTCATGGCACAACTGCCCCTCACAAGAATTCAGCTTCAGTGCAAAATTCATCTGTTGCAGTCCTCAGTGTCAATCACATTAAAAGACCTCACAGTGTTCCCTCTTCTGTCCAGCTACCTTCGACCTTAAGTACACAAAGTGCTTGTCAGAATTCAGTACATCCAGCAAATAAGCCTATTGCTCCCAATTTCAGTGCCCCCTTACCATTTGGGCCCTTTAGCACATTGTTTGAAAACAGCCCTACTTCTGCTCATGCCTTCTGGGGAGGATCTGTTGTTTCATCTCAGTCAACACCAGAATCTATGCTATCAGGAAAATCCTCATATTTGCCAAATTCAGATCCTTTACATCAGTCTGATACTTCCAAAGCTCCAGGTTTTAGACCACCATTACAGAGACCTGCTCCAAGTCCCTCAGGTGAGTTTATATTTTCTGATATTCTGCAGCTGTTCATGTGCACAAGTGATGTGAAAATTCTTGGTCATTTTCTAATGTTTTTACTCTCTGACTGGGCGATATAGACAAAGACTGTTGGCTTTAATTGACTCAGATGCTGTTGTTTGTGTTTAGTATGGTGTTATTTTTAAAAATCTTTTAAAAAGCTGCAATAGGTTTTTATTTAATTTTCCATAAATAAGCCTTCTGATCAGGCAGCGGGTTTTTTGTTTGTTTGTTTTTGAGACAGAGTCTCACTCTGTCACCCAGGCCGGAGTGCAGTGGCGTGATCTCAGCTCCTCGCAACCTCTGCCTCCCGGATTCAGGTGATTCTCCTGCTGCAGCCTCCCGAGTAGCTGGGATTACAGACATGCACCACCACGCCTGGCTAATTTTTGTATTTTTACTGGAGATGGGGTTTCACCATGTTGGCCAAGCTGGTCTCAAACTCCCAACCTCGGGTGATCCACCCACCTCAGCCTCCCAAAATGCTGGGATTACAGGCGTGAGCCACAGTACCTGGCCTAGGTGTGTTTTTCTCTCTCAGAAGTCTCTTATGTTTTAATTTAATAAAGCACTGTCACCAAAAGTTTGCGTTTATTACAAATACAAAATAACAGATTTTAAAAATTGGGTTTTATTTCGCATTATCTTTTTTGTTTCTAAAATAATTTTTTAAATAGAGCTACACAGTCTCATATGGTAGCCAATAACCATGTGTACTTTTAAAATTTAAATTAATGAAAATTTTAAAAATAAAAAGTTAGCTTCTTAGGCTACCCATATTTCAACCGCTTAAAAAACACTTGTGGCTAGTAGCTACCATATTGGACAGCAAAGATCTAGAACATTTCTATTATCGAAATTTCTATTGGGACAACACTGATATATGTAGAAGATATAAAGATCTCCTGATTGTAAGCTATTGCTTTTTTTAAAAAAACTTTTTACTTTGAAATATTTTTAGATTTGTAGAAGAGTTTTATAATTCCTCAGCTTCCCTTCATGTGACCATCTTACATATAACCATGATACATTTCAAAACTAAAAAAGTTAGTATTGTTATAGTACTACTAACTAAACTACAGATTTTAGGCAGATTTCACAAGTTTTTCAAGTAATATCCTTTTTCTATTATAGGATCTAATCCAGGATGCCAGTTTCCATTTAAAGCAATAATATTGGGTTTTAATATAAGCATTTCAAGTAATTAAAGACAGTCCGTGTAAGAGATGGACACACCATGGTCTATGGGCCAAATTTGGCCTGTTGCCTGTTTTTACATTTCTTAAATGTTTAAAAAAAAATTTTTTTTAAGAATAGGCTTGGCACGGTAGCTTGCACCTGTAATCCCAGCACTTTGGGAGGCTGAGGTGGGTCGATTACTTAAGCCCAGGAGTTCCAGACCAGCCTGGGCTTAAGGGGAGACCCCATCTCTACAAAATGGTGGTGCACACCTGTAGTCCCAGCTACTTGGGGGGCTGAGGTGGAAGGATGACTTGCGCCCTAGAGGCAGAGGTCGCACCTCTGCACTCCAGCCTGGGTGGAGACCCTGTCTCAAAAAAAAAGAAATTAAAAAGACTAAACATGCAACACAAAATATGAAATTTTAATTTCAGTGTTTGTAGAGAAAGCTTTCCTGAAACACAGCAATGCCCGTTCATTTGTATATTGTATAAGGATACTTTTATGCTACAATGACAGATTTGAGTAGTGGGGACAGAGACCATGTGACCTGCAAAGCCTAAAATATTTGGTATTTGGCTCTTGGTTGCCAACCCCTTATCTGTGTTATTGGAAATACGACATTCTGGGACAAAAATTTCCAAGTTTAATGGGAACTCAATGTTATTTTTACCTATTTCTGTAACATGTAAATAAAATTTAATAAACATGGTCAGTAAATATTTCTTTGCTGGAAGTCAACTGAAATATTTATGTGTACTATGAAAATTAATTTCTTTTATATTAAAACAATAGAATCAATATGATTAGATTTTAGATCATTGTGTGCCAGTGCATAGGAAATGCTTTTAAGTTTGATTTTTATAGTAATTGGAATTTAATACTTTACCTTTCCAAAAATCTAGATGTGGAGTTCAGAAAGGTTAAAATTGAGATTTAGAGAACAAAAAAATTCCTATTGTTTGAAAAGGTATAGAAGAAAGACCTCTGTAAGAAAGGTGAGGTTTTTGGGGAGTATATAGTTGATTAGAGCCAAAATTAGCATTGAAGTTTAACTTACAAATCAATTACCTAATTCAGGTCATTTTGAGTTAAAGATACTCCTTTTATTACATATGAAGTGTGTCCTTTGATTTTCTCCTAAACCTCTTTCAGATCCTAATTTTCACTTCTCTCTTCTTCTTCCTAATTCATTTTGTGTTCCACATTTTTCTTGCTTTGTTTAACTTTTCTTATGTAAATAATTTGATCATTTGTATTTTAGACTCAGATCTGTTTTTATAGTTTGTATTTTGAAAAGTTTTTTACGTCACATAAGGATGTAAGGACAGAATAAACAGCATAGTAAATACTTGTGTATTTCCACATTTATTAATATATTCTCCGCTTCTCAACATCTTTTCAAACTGTCTCCCTCACTCCCCCATCCCTCCCTCTCCCCTTTTCCTTCCTCCCTCCTCTTTTTTCCTCTCTTTTGCTGCTTCCTTTTCTTTCTACCCCCTCTCTTGTCTTACCTATCTCTCCCCTTCTTCATCCTTCTTTCCTTCTTTTCCCTTTTTCTATCCTATCTCTATTTTCTTTTCTTCTCCATCTTTTGTCAAATCATGAGAAGATAACTTTCAAACATGATACTTTACCCTTAAATACTTTGATATGTGTCTTCACAATGTTTGCCTTCACAGCTCTGCCACTATTACTACACCCAATAAAATGAGAATGAATTTGATAACACCGAACATAAAATGCCATTTTTCCAAATATATTATTTCTGCCTGCGTGTGTCTCTTTTCCTTGCCATTTGATCCAAGACTTAGTCAAGATTCACACATTACTTTTGGCTGTTATGTGTCTTTGGTCTCCCTCCATCTAAAGCATTCTACTGCCTTCCTCTGCAATTCTTGACATTGACTTCTTTGGCAAGTTTAATTCAGTGATTATGTCAATCCGTGATTAGATTCAGATCGAACATTTCAGCAAGGAGCATCATATAGGTGATGGGGTCACCTATATGAACCTCACACTGCATTTTATCAATGACAGATTAGCTGGATGTGGTGGCTCACACTTGTAATCCCAACACTTTGGGAGACTGAGGCAAGAGGCTCATTTGAGGCCAGAAGTTTAAGACCAGCCTGGGCAGCATAGTGAGACCTTGTCTCAACAAAAATAAATTAAAAAGCTGAGTGTGGTGGCATGTACCTGTAATCCCAGCTACTTGGGAGGCTGAGGCAGGAGGATCACTTGAGCCCAGTAGATGGAGGCTGTGGTGAGCCAAGGGCAACAGAGCAATCTCCTGTCTCCTTAAAACAAAGAAAAAATGACAAATTGTTCCAGTATTGGCTGTGGAAAGCATGGCCATGTGGTTAATATGTAATAATTATCAGATCTCTTCATTGTAGAATTGTATCTACAGCCCGTTTTTGCTCTGTAGTTTTATACAACTCTTTGGTCCTTAAACCTATCGTTTTTGCCCTGTAGTTTTATACAACTCTTTGGTCCTTAAACCTGTTTAAAATCATATATATATATTTTATGATATGATATTATATATTATATATTATATATTTTTTTTATTTATTTATTTATTTATTTTTTGAGATGGAGTCTCACTTTTACGCCCAGGCTGGAGTGCAGTGCACAATCTAGGCTCATTGCAACCTCTGCCTCCCAAGTTCAAGCATAAAATCCAATATTGACATGTATTCTATAAAAGCTAATAAAAGGTAAAACAAAAATACAGCTAGGTGTAATGACACACACCTGTAGTCCCAGATAGGAGGCTGAGGCAAGAGGGTTGCTTGAGCCCAAGAGTTTGAGGCTACTGTGAGCTATGATCACGCCACTGCATTCCACCCTGAGCAACAGAGAAAGCTGTCTCCTAAGTTAAAAAAAAAAAAAAAAAATCATTGACAATTATTTTCTTTCTTTTTTTCTGTAGTTTTAACCCATTAGACTAAAATCAGGTAGGTTACTTGTGTAAATAGTTTAGTGTGTAAACATTTGTAATACTTTTTTAATAAACATATTTCAAAAACAAATGTGTATCTGTAAGAGAGAAAAAGAGGAGGAAGAGTAAATGTTTTATCTTTATCCCTAAAAATAAACATTTTTTAAAAAATAGTTATCTAAAGATCCCTAAAGATAAACATTTATTCTTGCTCCTCTTTTTCTCTCTCACAAATACACATACATTCATTTTTGAAATAGGAACATCTGGAAGTTTCACTTTCTGTTTAATATATGGTTTTTGGTTTCGGGTTTTTAAAATAAGTTTGCATTAATTTTGCGATCCATAAAGGCAACAAAAGTCCACTTTGGCAAAAAGCCCATGTAAAGGAAAACTAATTGATCCTTTTTAACTAAAACATTAATGCCCACTAGTGCTGAAAGTACTACAATCAAGAATTAAATTTGTTCCCAGTAAATTATAATTTGAATTTTAGAGTATAATGTGATCATTGTTTCTTTTATAATTATCTACATAGTTTTAGTTTTTTGTGTGTGTGAGACAGGGTCTCACTCTGTCACTCAGGCTGGCATGCAGTGGCACCATCACAGCTCATTGCAGCCTTAACCTCCTGGGCTCAAGCAATCCTCCCACCTCAGCCTCCCAAGTAACTGGAACTACAAACATGCACCACCAAACTTGGCTAATTTTTTTTTTTTTAATTTTTTGTACAGACAGTCTCATAATGTTGCGCATCCTGGTCTTGAACTCTGGGCTCAAACAGTCCTCTCACTTTGGCCTCCCAAAGTGTTGAGATTACAGGCATGAACCACCACAACCAGCCAGGAACTTTTTTTTTTTTTTTTTTTGAGGTGATGTTTTGATTGACATGTTGCCCAGACCAGTCTTGAACGCCTGGCCTTAAGCAGTCCTCCTACCTTGGCCTCCCAAGTGCTGGGATTACAGGTGTATTTTTTTAATTATCTAAAATAGTTTTGAATGTATTTAGGGCCTTTTAGAATTTTAAGGTGTGTCTATTTCTTGCAGGGGTAACTATTATAAATTATGATGACCTTCTACATTATAGGTATTGTCAATATGGACCCGCCATATGGTTCTGTAACACCTTCTTCAACACATTTGGGAAACTTTGCTTCAAACCTTTCAGGAGGTCAGATGTACGGACCTGGGGCACCCCTTGGAGGAGCACCCGCAGCTGCTAACTTTAACAGACAACATTTTTCCCCGCTTAGTTTGTTGACTCCGTGTTCATCAGCATCAAATGGTAAGTTTTATACACCGTAATTCCATAAGAATCTGCATATGTTTTCTTAAAAACAGCAGGTTTCAAACTTCATCATAATTTTAATACCATAAAAATGTAATTTGTACTCTTGGAAATCTGGAATTTCAAAAAAATTTCTAGGTATTTAAATGATTGGAATCAACCTAGGTTCTATCAAACTTAAAATACTGAAGTTGTTCTAAGAGGGATTTTTATTATTTTTCATGTTTATTAGAGACAGGGCCTCACTGTGTTGCCGTGGCTGGTTTCATCAAACTTTTGGGCTGAAGCAATCCTTCTGCCTTCCAAAGTGCTGGAATTACAGGTGTGAACCACCACGCCTGTCCTGAGGGATCATTTTCTGAGGGAAAAAAATTAATCCTTGTACCTCTTATTAATTTATGTTTACTTTTGGTTTTGAGAATACAGCTACCAAAGAGAAAGATTTCTACCCTTAAGTGAAAATTATATCCTTTTATTCCACCTTTAAATCTCATCTAGGCTGGGCACAGTGGCATACACCTGTAATCCTAGCACTTTGGTAGGCCGAGGCGGGTGGATCACCTGAGGTCAGGAGTTTGAGACCAGCTTGGCCTGCATGGCAAAACCCTGCCTCTACTAAAAATACAAAAATTAGCCAGGCATTGTGGTGTGTACCTGTGATCCCAGCTACTTGGGAGGCTGAGGCAGGAGAATCGCTTGAACCCAGGAAGCGGAGGTTGCAATGAGCCAAGATCATGCCACTGCACTCCAGCCTGGGCAACAGAGCAAGACTCCGTCTCAAAAAAAAGAGAAAAACAATCTCAATCTCATCTGCATTAACAACACAACTGATTTCACATTATCACATGTGTTTTTTAACTACAGGCAGACTTTTGAAGCCAGGGATTAGATTTTCTTTTTTTTTTTTTTTTTAATTTGAGATGGAGTCTCGCTCTGTCACCCAGGCTGGAGTACAATGGCTCAAGTGATTCTCTCGCCTCAGTCTCCCAAGTAAATGGGACTACAGGCGTGTGCTACCACACCTGGCTAATTTTTGTATTTTTAGTAGAGACGGGGTTTCACTATGTTGGCCAGACTGGTCTTGAACTCCTGACCTCGTGATCTGCCCACCTCAGCCTCCCAAAGTGCTGGCATTACAGGCGTGAGCCACCACGCCTAGATTTTCAAACTAATGAAGATCAGTCAGCTAGAGGGAATTCAACTCAAATTAAGAGAATTCTGTAGTAAGGTTGGATATGTTTGTTTTTGAGGTAAAGATGTGAAATTGCTCATCTCTTAAGGAAATTATAATAAGACTCCATTTTGTTTTGTTTTGTTTTTTTTTGACTATCAGATTTCTTCTAATTAGCAATACTAGAATAGGTGACAGTTAACCTAATTAACTTAATGAAAGAGTAAAAAGTTGTAATTATTTTAGAGATACATGTCAAAGTACATTGCCAGTTAAAGCATGAGGTAAATTGTAGCCTGCAGTGAATTTCTATATTCATAGTTTTTCTTGGGTTTGTCAAATAGTGGCAGTCATATAGAATATTAATTATCCTTGCACAGCTCCCAAAGTGCTGGAATTACAGGCGTGTACTACCGCATCACCCAGGTTAGGTTTTTTAATACATGCTTTTGAATATAGTGCTATATTGTAGATACAGAGTATCGTTGAGGGCATTACAATTGCTTTTATTATTGCCACATTCCAGTAACTATTTTGTTATAAAAAATTTCAGACCCATAGAAAAGGTGTAAAGAATAGTACAAGGAATATCCATATTTCCTTCACCTAAATTTCCCAATTATTTTGTTATATTTATTTTCTCTCTCTGCTGTTTTGCTGAACCATTTGTAAATAAGGTGCAGATAAGACACTTCAGACCTAAAAACATGCATCACTTGAGAATAAGGATATTTTCTTATGCAACCATAATACCATTATCAAATACCTAATAGGTTAACATGAATTCAGTAAGAATTAATCAGTGCATATTCAGATATCTTCAATTATTCCAAAACATTTTTTATAGATGTTTCTTTCTTGAACCAGGAACCACCACTCAAGGCTCACATATTGCATTTGGTTATGTCTCTCAGATTTTGTAATTAATTATTTTAAACTTTCAAGAATATCACAAGGATCCCTTGTATATTTTTCCCAGATTCACCAATTAAACTACATTACTTCCTTTCCTCATCATATATTCTTCTGTGTGTAATATTATTTTATTCCTGAACTATTTTAGAGTTAGTTGTAGACGTCAAGCCCTTTTGCCCTTAAATAACTTAGTTTCCTAAATATAAGAATGTTCCCTTCGACAACTATGATGCAGTGTTTAAATTCAGCAAACTTTACATTTTATAATATTATTATCTAATATATGGTCCATATTTACATTTCATCAGTTATCTCAATAACTTTATTATTTTCTATCATCCAAGATTCCAATTAGGATTGCAAGTTACATTTAATTCCCATATTTCTTTAGTCTCAAATAATCTAGAACTATTCTCTGAGCCTTTCTTTAACTTTCAAAGAAAGATTCATTTTATGAAGACTACAGGCTAGTTGTTTGCTAGAATGCCTTTTATTTTTATTTCCTACTATTTCTTCCTGATTAAATTCAGGGTATGTTTAATAAACACTGAACTAAACTGTGAGAAATGTGCAGTGTAATTTTACTGTAGGAGCACTTTTTGTTCTTCTCCTTTCTTTTCTTTTCATGTAATTTTACTGTAGAAGCACTTTTTGTTCTCTCCTCTCTCCTCTCCTCCTCTTCTCACGAAGTCTCTCTCTGTCACCCAGGCTGGAATGCAGCAGTGTGTGACCGTAGCTCACTGCAGCCTCAATCAAACTCCTAGGCTCAAGGAGTCCTCTCGCCTCAGCCTCTCAAGTAGCTGGGACTACGGGCACTTACCATAGCACCCAGCTAATGTTTTTATTTTATTTTTATGGATTTTATTTTTTGTAAGATGAGGTCTTACCATGTTGCCCAGACTGGTCTTGAACTCCTGGTCTCCAGAGATCCTCCCACTTTTGCCTCCCAAAATGCAGAGATGCTGAGATTACAGATGTGAGCCACCACCTTGGCTCACCATTTTTTTTTTTTTTTTAAGACAAGGTATCTCTCTGTTGCCCAGGCTGGAATGCAGTGGCACAATCTTGGCTCACTGTAACCTCCACCTCCTAGGCTCAAGCAATCTTCCTGCCTCAGCTTCTCGAGTAGCTGGGACTACAGGTGTGCACCACCATGCTTGGCTAATTTTTTAATTTTTTTTTGTAGAGATGGGGTTTTACTGTGTTGCCCAGGCTGATCTCAAACTCCTCGCCTCAAGTGATCTGCCCTCCTGGGCCTCCCAAAGTGTTGGGATTACAGGTGTAGGCCACCACACCCAGTGGCCCCACTTTTTGAATTTGTAAATCACATTGCTCTTTCAAGTTTAACTCAGGACTCTGTTATCATTTCCAAACTGTGGGGAATTTACCACGATGTCAATGAAACTTAAATCCTTAGGCTACCTCATTTTATACTTCCAAGTGCTGTACGTGATTTTTTTATTTGCAATTTTGCATTCTTCTAAAAAAGGTTCCCAAAATCGTGTAAGCTTAAGGCCCCACAAAACCTAGATCTGCCGCATCCTCTGAAACCTATTTCTCTAATATATAAGCTGATGTTTTTAAATAACATGGCTCTGAATTAAATTTTGCTTTTTTGTCTAATTGAAGTAATTATAGTAATTACAGATGTGAAAATTATTTTAGTTAGGTTCTTTTCATGGAAAGGAATATAGGCCCATCCCGGGAATTTCAGGGAAAGCAATGTTTATATAAGGCTATACAGAACCATTTTCCAAACCGTCCAGGACTTAAGGATAGCTGTTCTCTCTCTCTCTGAGAGGATTTGTGATCTCTCACTCATGGTCTGTTTCTTGTCAGTTTCTTGCATTCTGCTCTCCTTACACCTAAACTTCTTCATAATCTTGTATATGCACATCAGTGGTTCAACTTCATAATTAATTAAACCAGTTAACCCTTTAATTCCCCATTCTTTGATGAGGAATGTGATTGGCTCAGCTTATATGTTCAAGTCAGGCCATTTCGGTCATGTTATTGACTTGCCTAAAAGGGATCATTCTTGGATGGGTGCCTATCCTTAATCCAATAGTTGTGCAGAGAGGGAGCAGAAAACAGAGTCATCTGATAAAAACTATGACTAGAAGGGTGGCAGAATCTGTGCAGAGAGTAAACAACTTAAATGGCGCAGGTCAGCAGGCAAGCCTACTAATTCTGTTTATTAAAATAGAATGTGTAGGAGGCTGAGGTGGGAGGATGGCTTGAGGCCAGGAGTTTGAGGCTGCAGTGCACTGTGATTGTGCCTGTGAATAGCCATTGTACTCCAGTGTGGGCACCATAGTGAGACCATCTCGTAAAAAACAAAACAATGTGGAAAGTTGTTGTTATTTTGCTCTACTTTGGTTCTAGAAGGATACAGGAAATGAAAGGCAAACTAGAGTGAACACAGAGGTTAGGGTAGGCTCCCAGGGATGAATCTAGGGGAAAGCAGGATTCATTTGTTTATCTTGCTTTCCTTCCTGCCTGCCTGCCTTGACTATGTCTTGGTGTTAGTTGTTCTGGGTTGATTTTTCATAGAGGTTTAAGTGTGGCCTTTCAATATGTAGTTTTTTAAAAAACAAGCTTTTGTTATTTATCTTTGTGTTTACAAGTCTGTGTATTCCTTGTAGTTTTTGTCTGTTTTCTACTGCATGTATAATTGCAGAATTTGTGATTTTATTTGCTATTTAGCTGAAATATTCTTTTACTTCTAACACTTTCCTGAGTTTTGTCATATTGTTTCCGTTTTACTAATTCTGAATTAAGCTGTTCCTTCATCTCGTTTTCTTTCTTTTAGTTCATTTTTGAATTTTAGGTTATAGCTTTTTTTCTGGAGTGATTTTATTGTCAACAGGAATGCTATAGGTCTTTCTCTTTTATCTTACATAATAGGCTTATTTGGAATTCAACTGCAGTTCTGTTGAATCTGCAGGTAACAGTCTTGATTTTTTAAGCTTCAGACTCCTTTATTATTTATACCATTTTAATTTAAACGTGCTTTAATATTTAACCTTTTTTTTTTTTTTTTTTGAGACAGAGTCTTGCTCTGTCACCCAAGCTGAAGTGCAGTGACACGATCTCAGCTCACTGCATCTTCCACCTCCCGGGTTCAAGTGATTCTTCTGCCTCAGCCTCCCAAGTAGCTGGGACTACAGGCACATGCCACCACACCCGGCTAATTTTTGTATTTTTAGTAGAGATGGGGTATCACCATATTGGCCAGGCTGGTCTCGAACTCGGGATCCCATGATCCTCCCACCTTGGCCTCCCAAAGTGCTGTGATTACAGACATGAGCCACTGTGCCCGGCCAGTATTTAAGCTTTTCATAAAAAATATAATTTTGATTATTTTTGTTTTTCTCAATAATGTATAGAGATTGAATCACTAATGAATATTCTCAAATTAAGAAATCCACCTTGTTTGCATAAGTAAAAAAGATTCTCATTACCAAAAGTGTGTTCTATGAAGTACTCACAAGATAAAATAAAACAGATTTAGGCAATCATCTTTTTATTGGTATTTTATCAGCATATATAATGTACTGTAAAGTTCTAATTTGAAGAAACTTTTTTTTTTAATTGGGCATGGTGGCTTATGCCAGTAGTCCCAACTGTTCAGGAGGTTGGGGTGGGAGGATCGCTTGAGCCCATGAGTTTGAGCCTACAGTGAGTTACGATGGTGCCTCTGCATTCTAGCCTGAACAACAGAGCAAGATTCTGTCTCTAAAAATAAATAAATAAATAAATAAATAATGAATAAATAACAAAGAAACGTATTTCTCTTTCTTAAGCTAGGTTTTCCAAATTTATTGGATAGCTGAATCTCTTTGTTTTTTTCATCATAACACAAAGAGCAAGTGTTCCCAAGGAATACAGTTTGGAGATTGCCACTACAGGCAGTGATTCTTACCCATCTCCATTCTGTTGTTGTTGGTTTGTTTTTTAATTTAAACGTCTTATTGCTCTACTGCTACATGTAATTAATGTCAAGGGTTAATTCATTTGAATATTATTTAGTTTAATGGTAGTTGAACACTTTGTAGTTGAACACTTTGCAGCATGCAGCATTGACATCATATTCTACCTTGAAGTCATGGAACTTTAGCCAAATTTTAATATGCATAATTTTTATTTAAGTATTATTTTTACATTTTGTTTTTCTGAGTGTATTTAAAACATCTCCTGAATTTAAGATTTGATTTCATAAAATTACATGTTCTATAGATGACCTGTATTTTATTTCAAAATGTCTCTTCTCTAGATTCTTCTGCACAGTCAGTATCCTCGGGAGTTCGTGCACCATCTCCTGCCCCATCGTCAGTACCGTTAGGGTCAGAAAAGCCCAGCAATGTGTCTCAGGACAGGAAAGTTCCAGTCCCTATTGGGACTGAACGTTCTGCACGTATCAGGCAAACTGGAACGTCAGCTCCATCTGTTATTGGGAGCAATTTGTCTACATCAGTAGGGCATAGTGGCATCTGGTCCTTTGAAGGGATTGGTGGCAATCAAGGTAGGATATTCTATCCTGCTCTCTAGAAATTAACTTTATGCATTTAACTATAATGTAAACAGTATTTAACTTTCATAGTCATTTTTTTTTTTTTCTTTTTTTGAGATGGAGTTTCACTCTTGTTGCTCAGACTGGCGTGCAATGGGGCGATCTTGGCTCACTGCAACTTCCGCCTCCCCGGTTCAAGTGATTCTCCTGCCTCAGCCTCCCAAGTAGCTGGGATTACAGGCATGCACCACCATGCCTGGCTGATTTTTTTTTTTTTTTTTTGGGACGGAGTCTCACTCTGTAGCCCAGACTGGACTGCAGCGGCGTGATCTCGGCTCACTGCAAGCTCCACCTCCTGGGTTCACACAATTCTGCCTCAGCCTCCCGAGTATCTGGGACTACAGGCACCCACCACCACGCCCGCCTAAGTTTTTTGTATTTTTAGTAAAGATGGGGTTTCACCATGTTAGCCAGGATGGTCATGATCTCCTGACGTCATGATCCTCTCGCCTCGGCCTCCCAAAGTGCTGGGATTACAGGCATGAGCCACTGCACCTGGCCTGTATTTTTAGTAGAGACAGGGTTTCACCATGTTGGTCAGGCTAGTATCAAACTCCTGACTTCAAGTGACTCACCCACCTCAGCCTCCCAAAGTGCTGGCATTACAGGCATGAACCACCACGCCCAGCATCATAGTCATTTCTAAAAGATCTGTATTCCTATTTTTTTTGTTGTTATGAATATTTAATCACTTGTTTAAGAGCTCTATCCCCCATGTGACCTTTCTCATTACATTTATTTATTACTGCTTTGTGAAAATACCTAATGCAAGCATGTTCTTTTCTTCCTTTCATCATATTAAGGACATACTAATATTTCCTTTCAGTCCCTTTAGGTTGTACTTAGGTTTTTTTCTTTTGTTTTGTAACACCAAGTTTTTAGATTATTTCATTAAGCTATTATGTCACTACGTACAAATCATAGAAATATTGCTGTAAATATATAAAAGTAGGTTATTATATTGAAATAATTTACGGTTCAATGTGGAAAATATTAGAAAAACAGAAAATATTTTATTTTGATTTTAAATATTACCTATTTTTGTTTTGCCTCTTTGTTTGCCCTCAGACAAAGTAGACTGGTGTAACCCTGGGATGGGAAATCCTATGATCCACAGACCGATGTCTGACCCAGGAGTATTTTCACAACATCAGGCAATGGAGCGAGAGAGTACAGGAATTGTAACTCCTTCTGGTACATTCCATCAGCATGTTCCTGCAGGCTACATGGACTTTCCTAAAGTTGGGGTAAAGTCCTGATTTTGTCCTAGTTATTTAAGGGAGGATTTTCTGAGAAAATATTTTGAATATAGTAGGCATATGTATAATCTAATGTTAAAATAAATTATATAATGGGTAATAATTTTTAGATTTCTTAGATAAGTTACACATTGCCAGGATGAGGTGAAGTTTAAAATATCAATTTTAAGGCTATTGATTATATTGGGAAGAATGAACAATGACTTGGATGTTAATGTGTGTGTTTTCCTTTTTTAAGGGTATGCCTTTTTCTGTGTATGGGAATGCAATGATTCCTCCAGTAGCACCTATCCCTGATGGTGCTGGAGGACCCATATTTAATGGCCCTCATGCTGCAGACCCTTCTTGGAACTCACTGATAAAGATGGTTTCCAGCTCCACGGAAAATAATGGCCCTCAAACGGTAAGGCTGATCATTGAGTGAACAAACATTTATTTTGTGCTTAAGAAATGCAAAGACAAATAGGATTCAGGTAACTCATAATAGCAAGAAAGTCTGATGAATATGGGCAGTTGAGGAAATTAAAGGAAATTTAATATAGCTGCAGTACAGCAGAGGGCTGTGGGAAATGGTACCAAAGGCAGGTTTGGGGCTAAAATTATGAAAGGTATTGTATATTCTACTGGGAAGCAGGTAATAAATGAAAGATTTTAAGTTGCAAAGTGACTATCATATGATTTTATATGTTAAAGTTTACTAGTTATGTGAAAAGAACCATCTAGAGGGTATTTATTAAAGGTGCTATAAATAACTCTGAGAATTCACATAAATGGTTGTATATTTTAGCTTAGTGCATGTTTAATATCTTTGATTTATTTTTTTTCCACAACCGTGAATCTGTAAATGCTCAGGTAATGATTTTTTTTTAAAGGTTGTAAATCAGATTCTGTTTGAGGGATAGGAGGTAGGAAAATAATAGAAAAAAGATTTTATCATTTTTTTCCCATTAGTTCCTAGTATATTGCAAATTGAAGAGTACCTCCTTAGGTTTTAAAAGTTTTATTTTAATAAAATATATGCTAGATATATATTTTGTAAAATGCATGCTCTATATTCATAGGTGTGGACTGGACCCTGGGCACCTCACATGAACAGTGTGCATATGAACCAGCTTGGCTGATGAGGATCAGCTTGTTAGCCTGCAGATTCCTTTTCATTTGGAGGAAATCACAAGTGGCCGAAAACAAAAATTATGCTCCCAAATCATTCTACTGATGTGCTTGACTGAAGTGTGTAGGCTTTTTGCAGAAGATCTTACTAACTGACCTATTTTCTGTGAACATTTGTGACTGCCCATTCCCCATCATCATCCGTTTTACCTTAGTTAGCATTTTTCTTATCATTTTCTTTTTTTCTTTCCCTCTTCCCCTTCGGACATAACTTTCTGTTGAAGCTGTTCTTTGGCTGGTTGGTTTTAGTACTGTAAACTGCTTCTGAGCAAACACGGAAATTTAGCAAAATTATGTAAACTTGATCCTGAAGTTTTAGAATGGCAAATAAATGTACAATTGTTTACATAACAGAAAAGGCTAAGCAGAAAGTAAATTTCAATATGTCAGTATAGAGGCTCTACTTTATGTAGACTTAAATTAATGTGAGATATGTACCTTCATATTCAGAAATCTGGATGTTTCCTTCATACATTAAACTATTAATAAGCATAACTTTTCTACTTGTGTAATTTAAGTATAAAGTAAAATAATGGGCATTATCATTGGATGTTTCCCCACATTGGCTTTTAAAATACCCATCTTGCTTTCTTTTTGGTTTATTTGTAGCAAGGCACATATTGAAGAAGAAATTTCTGGCTTTTCCATGTTGTTTTATTACCTTTTCTCACTTTTAAAACTAATACACACTTATCTCGTCATTCTTTTTTCTCTCCTTACCTTTACCACTAATACCAGTAAAATTATCTTGCTGATAGTGAAAAAGTTCTGTCAAGATTTTCACTGTAATGGCTGCTACCGAGATGGACCATCTTCATCATTACCAGTGGTTTCTTCTAATTATAAAATGTTTAAACTTTCTGAGAATTTAAAAAGCCACCACTGTTCCCAGTCAGCATATACAAGCTCTTAATATTCTGTTTATTAAACAATTCAATGTACTATTTTATATTGGATGATATTGATTCTTAACATTGGCTTTTCAGTCATCAACAGTCAACATAAAAATTTCAATTTGCAGTAATTTAGTGGAAAATATCTTATTTCTTTTTTCAATTTTAAAGGCTTCCTGCTTTTTTACACTTGTATATTATAAGTGAAAAGGATCAACAGTTAATTTGAGCCAAGTAATAAAAGAAATTTTGCATTTGTCACAAAGACAATTTATGGTAGATACATAAATACACAGATTACAATATAAAGTCTCCATTTAACCTGTTTATATAAGATACAGGGCCACACTAAACTACTCAGTGGGATTTATATATTCCATCCACTTGAAACAATAAACAGTAATGTATCCAAGAAGATTATGTGTCCTACCCTGTCTCATGGAAAAATTAATTATATGGTTGAAATGTAAAAGAAAGTAAGCATAAAAATCAAGTAATGTATATATCAGTTTGTCTTTTTTTTTAATTAGATATAAAATTTCACACTGGTAAAGCATAAACACTAACTAAAATTCATATAAATCACCCAGAGTTGATGATATTAATATGGTTCCTTGGTTGTCAAGTAAATCAAATGATTTCTTTAGTCTGAGTAAAGAGTAAAGCCTGAGTAAAGAGTAGAAAGATGACTTCTCAAACATATGCAGAAATTTGTAAACAGTACATTCATATCTTTTAGTTTAAGAAGTGGTCTTAAAATATATAAATTTGTTTTTCCACCTATGTTTAATATGCCCAGATTTAAAGGGAGAGCTAAAAGACAGCCTACAAATAAATATAGCTATGAAATAAAATTATAGCACTTTACTAAAAAAGGGATGTAATAATGTTATTTACCAAAGTATTTTATATATGACTTGCCACTATTGTATACATAAATTTTTTTTTCTTAATTCTTCCCTGTGTTAACTAGGGTTATTTTCTATTTGAGATAATCCTGTTGGAGAACAGAAGCTATCCAATATTTATTACTACACGTGAGTTGTGTTGTTTCACAATACTGAATTTCTTAGTTGAGATATCTTATTTAAAAAGAAGGGGGGAAATCCCCTGTGTTTTCTTAACTTCAAAACTGTGGGGCCAGGGCATATAGATTGAAATGCTCCATATTTACTTTTGGGGATCAGGCTTGTTTAGTACAATACCATGGTTTTAGAAGTCTGTACTAGGAACATTTTTCAAATACATTTTTTATATTTCAGATGTAATGCAGTGCACTTTTATTTGAACAATAAAAAAACATAATTTTTTGAGACCATGAAGGTCTTTTTTTTTTTAATTTTGAAAATATGTGGTATGTGTATATGCAGACTACATCATTCTTTTAAGAAGTGATTTAACTTGTGGACATTACACTTGGGTTAGTTCACACCTTAAATCCCCAAGTAGTTAATATCTCAATTACTGTATAATCAGTTTATACCATCCATTCCCAACAAAATCCCACATTTCATGCCTTTTCAACATACATTTCAACATAATCAACATATTTACAAACACTGACTTCAGTGTTTATAAAAAAGAAATTTCCCCTCCTATTTCCCATTTCTGAAAAGTCAAGTCATTTTTATTGGTACACAAAAATTAATTTTTTTGTAAATGACTATACATATAGTCATTTTTCTTCTTTGGAAAAGGTAAATAGCTTATTAACTAATCCTGTCTTTTTCTTCACAAAAATAATAGTCCATCTGTGTTTTGAATCAAATAACCTAAATACACATTTTGTAAAAATTTTGTACCCTATATTACTTATTTTTAAAACAGTACAGTGTTAGACTAAACAGGAAAACTCAAAGTTATAAAAATCTCTTCAGATCCTCTAATTTATTAAATCTATTTTCATGTTGATGTTTTTCATAACACTTATTCCCACAGATCTGGCATTACAGAACATTTAAAATGTACCAAAACATTGTTTTAATAACAGATTTTAAAATCAGGATTATTTCAGAAGGATTACAATAGCAAAGAAAAACCAAGTCACTGCTTTTAATCACTATGAGCAGATTCAGTATCCCTTTCTCAATATATTTTACTTAAGTAAATAAATCTATGCAGGTATCTTACACTTTTAATGTTTGCTGTCCTTGACACTAAATTCCGAATGTTCCTTAATGTCTTTGGAAATACATATCCTATTGATAAAGGCTTGCTTAAGTCACAGCATTTGATTAACTCAGGTGACTGGAATTTAAGATGGGAGCATCATCAGTGCTTTAATAAGTCTTAGTGTGTTGCACACCTTGATTGCAAAAATACGATCACTTGAATTTTGGATTAAGTGTAAAGGAAAATGTGCCACTGTGGCTTTGACGGAATACCTTTATAACGTAACAAAGTATAAACCTAATATCTGTGGTGTAGGAGGTTGCATATTGTACTTCTGCTTTTAAATGAATTCACACTTTTGAAAAACAAAAGCCAACTTTGCATTTTCAATGCTTGAAAACCAATCATAAGAAAGATGGCAAGCAGATGTCTTTCAATAAAGAGAAAAAAGCCAATTCTAGATTAGGTAGCCTTGGTTTTGAGAAGTAATGCCTTAAGTAAGAAAGAAAAACTGAAATCTTAATATGATTCTAAGGGATCACTAACAAATAGTTTATTTCTTAAAGGTGTTTTTTTGTTGTTTTATATATACCCTAGTAAGCTATAGTCATTTAGTTTGACAAACATTTCAGAAGGCATATTTGGGAAATGAGAAGCCTAAATGATTACATGATAATGATACCCCATAATCAAATTTTCAGCACTTAATTCAGGCCACTACAACAAAAATACTATTGACTGAGGAGATTAACAGAATGTATTTCTCACAGTTCTGAAAGCTAAGATGTCTAACGTCAACATGCCCGTCTTTATGTTTTCTGTTGAGGGCCTTCTCTCTGGTTTGCAGCTGGCTGTCTCCTTTTCAGTTTCTTCATGTAGGGCAGAAAAAGGTCATCTTGCTTTTGTCTTTTCCTTTTTTTTGTTGCTTTTGTTTTTGTTTTTGTTTTTTTTAAGAGACAGGATCTTGCTCTGTCACCCAGGCTGGAGTGCAGTGGCGTGATCATAGCTCACTGCAACCTCAAACTCCTAGGTTCATGTGATCCTCCCCACGCAGCCTCCCAAAGCACAGGGATTTACAGGCGTAAACCACCATGCCCAGCCTTGTTTCTTCTTATGAGGGCACTTATCCGAGAGCTCTACCTTTAAGACCAATTACCTCCCAAAGGCCCTACCTCCAAATATCATCACCTTTGGGTTTCAGAAAAGAATCTGGGGAGGACAAAAACATTCAGTCCATAGCAAGCTCCATTCCTGTGTTTGGCACCATGATAGTTAAGAATTACAGAGACTGCAGAAAGAAAATGTAATACATAGTCTCTTCTTAAGGAATTTAAAGTTGAGAAATTAACTGACATAACACTGATATCAAAGACTGGAATAAGCTAATTATAAATGTTGAACTTTTACAAATGTTTTAATACATTGAACAAGTTCATTTGCAAAGAGGATTGACAAACGATTTCAGTTGGTTCACTCAATAGTTGTAGATCATTTTATACTGTACTCTGAAACAAAAGATATAAGATAATCACAATGTTGTATAAACAGTGCCTATACATTAGTAGTAACACTTTCTTTTGCATTGGGCTTTGAAATTGACAAATACTTCCCCCAACATCCTCTACCAAGTAGATAGCAAGTTCTGGTCATCCCTATTATATGGATTAAGAAATGTGTTTATACAAATATATGAAATTAGCAGAAACTAAATATTCACAAATTTTATTTAGATCACAATATTCAAACAAAGAAATACTTTAAAATAAGAATGTAATATATGAACACAATACATAGCAAAAAATGTGTTCCCACACTAAAGTCTCATTTCTGACCCCTGATACAACTCCACAAAATTAAATCTTTGGAAATGAAGAACAGCTTACAGCTTTTTTTTTTTTTTTTTTAAAGAGATGGGAGTCTTGCTTAAGACTTTAAGAATTTAAAAATTCATGTATAGATATATCAGTCAGTTTGGAAAGCACATGAATTCCAGAATCCTGAGAAAGTTATCGTAGGGTACCCTTGGTTAGGTGCACAGTGAAGGGCAAACGATAGCTGCCGTTTGACATTACCCAACATTTGTTGGAGGCTTCTTTTCCTAAATAAATAAATAAAATCAAGGTTTACTCCTCACAACATATTTTGGTATGTAGTCTAGGGGTGACCCTTCGATGGGGAAACTCCTCCACGACATTCCATTTTGTTGTTTCCAAGAACACAAAAGTAAAAACTATATAGTTCATGTAGATTCAACGTATTCCTTTTAACCAGAAGACAGCCAATGCTGCTGTTCGGGCTCTCTAAAGCTTATATAGGATACAAGTAAACTCCAGTGAGGAATTCACCGTACTGCCAGTGAACTGCCAGTGACAGTTTCCCTTAAATGAAGAGATGACACTTTTATCTTACTGTAAGATTTTGCTGCTATTTACCACGGAAGACAAAACATCGAAGAAATTCAGTTTGCAGGTGGTGTTCAAAATACTAACTGGAACAGATGGGTCAATTAAATCTACAAGAGACTGAACTACCCCTCGTGCTTTAAGCATGCTTATTAACACTCAGGGTCAGCAAGAAACATGCGTCTCTCTACAAGCCGGCACTTTAGCAACGTGTGACTCGCGTATTATAACCTATCGTAATCGCTAGCGGAAGCAATCAGGTGCACGTAAAAAGGTTGGGGATCAGCTTCTGGTCACAAAAAAAAACACCGAGCAAAGATAATTCCACTACAAATGACGATTAGCGTTAGTGAAAAAGAATGGTTAAGTTACACGGTGAAGATGAACTTTGCAAGGCGAGCGCTCCCTAGAGAACACCCAGCCCCGCGGAGGGCAGCACGCTCCACCATGTCTGCAGTTTTGGTCCGGCTTCGGAGTAACCACCCTAGCAGCGGGAAGTTTCGCGTGTGCGCAGTAGGCCTGCCCAGTGCCGCGTGGGAAAGGCGGGACCTTCCTATCTCTTGCGTCATATCAACTGCGACGCAAGACGTCACCGGCTTGACTGGGAAGGTCAATCGCGGCTGCAGGCGGATACGCCTGCGGTTTATGCCCGCTGTTGCAGAAGCGTGGGCGTTAACAGCTTTGGCTGACTGGTGTATGTCGGCAGGATTGTGAAGCCCGGGTTCCGGGCTCTGCCGTGGTGCAGAAATGCTGTGCCGACTCGGCGGTCGGTGGCTGCGGCCGCTCCCTGCCCTGCAGCTGCGGGCTAGGGACCCGGCGCTTGCGCGGGTTCCTACGAGCGGCGCCAAACGCCCCACTCTCTCAGTGTGGGCAGTGGCACCAGTCTGTGCAGTCCATGCGAACGGCTGGTACGAGGCCCTGGCCGCGTCTTCGCCGGTGCGGGTTGCGGAAGAAGTACTGCTCGGCGTGCAGGCCACCACGGGCCTGCC